TTTTCTGAAGGTGGCACGAGTAAATCATACCTGAGATACTTTGGGAACTAATGCTCTCTAATGGATCCCAATTTTCATAACTTAGTTTCACCAATTAACGGTTCAAAAGATTGTACGTGATGCCAAGTTAGATAAAGCAGAGACCACACTGAAACTTAATCGGTGTACACGATTTTTTGAAAGAATCTATTTTGTTACTTATAAAATAATCAGTAGTATAAATAAGCTAAATATGTTTTACTTATCCTCACAAAACATTAATACTCCATCATAACCAATTATATAGTTTATGAGATCAGTGTTCAAAATTTATTGCAGCTTTCTCAGTTCATTCCATTCTTTATGAAGGAGTGTGGCCAATCTGAAAATCAATAATTAAAGTTATTGCCATCAATTTTTTATCTTAAGGACAATAACTGTTAAGTCTCTTTAGGTATACATACATCCTGAGTGGACTGCTTCGAAATTGTCAGATATTTACCAGTACCTTCTTTGGTAGAGCTGTGTATTGGCTTTCAGTGTATTTCATGGGGTTTATTTCATTATAAATAGGAGTTGTCTGCTGAATGTGGCTGTTTATGAATATCTTGTAATATCACGGCAATCCAGTGAAGATGAACGTATATCGAAAGAAACTGATTACTTTCAGTCCTTACTATCAACAATATGCCACCAACGCTGAACCTTAAGATAATCTTTTCAGCACAGGCTAGAGTCTACATGAATTCAGTAGCTCATTATATAACGCACTAGTCATTTGCAACAAAGGGCATTGGGTTTGAGCCCCTCTGTCAACACTAACATGGGTTTTACGAGTAAATCCAACTGACTAGTCTCAAATAAGACTAAATGCCCATCCTGAACTCCACTGGTAGCCAGCAACCTACTTTAGTTAAAAAATATTAATCAATTAGTTTAAAGTTTCATTATATCATTATTTTTACACCATTATATATTGAATAATAGAGTCGTTTGTGCAAAGAAGAATAACTGTCCAACCATATCTTAATATTTATTGTCTATAATAATAAAATAAAATGTAAACCAAAATAGATAAAGTGAGATTTCAATCCAGAACTCGATAACCTAGTGAATAACCATTTACCCAATTCTACGATTGAAAAAACAACCATTAAAATCTTTAACAGTGATACTAAGAATTATGAGTTCAGATTGTTGAATGAGTGATAAGTATTAAACTGTTAGTAAATCTTGTAAAACATGATATCTATGTCAAACAAATTTCCAAATCATCTAAAATTAGACTAATAGTTATTCAGCTGTCATGTTTCCCATAATAACGTTTATACTCACGCATATGTTACCAGTTCCAATAATGAAATTACTACAGTCTCCACAAAACCCCTTCTTATACTAATCAACATATGCTCATTAGTGACTGGCTTCAAGAGGTATATCCTGGAGTTCTAGTGAGAAGCAGTGATCAGTGGAGTTCAACTAGATCTGTTGTGAGATAGTAACTCACTGATGACAATGGTGGATGTGTCGGTCAATTTCGTGGATTAGTTGAAGTTAGATATTAACACCATTGGATGCCGGCTGGCTCAGTGATCTAGTGGTTAAGCGCTCGAGCGCGAGATAAATATGGTCTTAATCTTAAATCTCGTGGCTCTTAAAATTTAGCTATGTTGAATGAAATGTTTTGTATTTTGAGAAAGAACAAAATTGCAATATCCTTTTTTTGTAAAGCAAAATGTTCAATTTTTGGTATCGCATATTCAATATTAAAAAAATGACAGAAAAAGCTTGAAATCTTCCTACCACCATTTAAAACTAACTGACAAACTATGTTTGATTAGCGAATAAGACCGTGAACAAGTATAATGATCTTCTTCATTAATCAATGAAGTTACTTCGCCTGTAGATCTTCTAGAGTTAGTACCGGTCTCAAGTCCAGGTAAAGGAGAAGAGTTGGGCATAAGGTTAGCGACCCCATCCCGTAGAAAAGCAACCCGCTGAAAAAACGCTAATTATTCAATGAAGTATTTTTTGCCATTTCATATTTTTAAATGAAGTTATGATTCTACATGATGTTACCAATTCGAACTTTATTTATCATCTTAAACTAGAAAAAGCTTAAAAAGCCATTGATCATCAGAAACTACTGGACAATTATCTTATCCGAAACTGTAATTATTTCACAGATACAAAATGAAGAATATCTATTGATTCAGTTATCATGAAATGTGCCAAAATATTAGTGAATAGTTACTCAGTACTGTCCAGTTTTTATTAGGTCAGTTCTGAAAGTAAATTACTACCATATAATTCTTTTGATCAAAATTTCCATTAAGCATGGCAAACATAGACAGATATTATCAATATAGAGCCTGGAACAGATGTCCATTAGCCTAAGTTGCCATATCATATTAACACAAAGAGAGTAAATAAATATAATATATTGTAAGGCGACCAAATTACTATAGAAGTAACGATAATGAGAAACCTTGTAAATATGGTTTCAAAAGACTGAGTGAAAGGTGTATATAAAGGGTTACTGGAATCAAAAATTGAATGGAGAAGAAATTGTGAATGCATACTCTCTAGTGCGAGCGATTCTGCGCTATTTCACACAGTCTCCAACGTTTGATTGCGGCTATCAGACTAACCCCAATTAGGCAGTCTGCTTCTACTAACATGAGTTAAACTAACAGTCACTATCTTCATGAACTGATACCACATTTTGATTTGGCTTTCCTAACATTTTTCAGCCTACTCCAGTACTGGCAAGAATCGCTGACCAAAGTAGAAGTCGGTTATGCATATGTAGTACATATCTTAACGATTCCAGTAAATGAACATCCACTACCTCATGAAGTGATCACCAAGCAAAGAAACTGTATAAAATGTAAATATTTTCGTCTCTTGTGAATTTCTTTCAGACGTTTCCAATAAATTAATTTATAACTGACATCACTAATTGGTATTGGTTAGATGAACACTGAAATTTAGGAAGCATAGGACGGTTGCTTAGTCCTAGTATGGGACTTCTCACACGAAGTCATATCCATGATGTTCAAGTTTCCCTGAGCTTGTATAAGCTTCAAACCAATCAGCTGAGGTTTAATTTAGATAAATTCATAATTTTATATGATTATCTTCTAATACCATCTGCAGGTAACTCTCTGATATCATATACGATTGAACTATATCTTTTAAAAAAACCACATCAGTATATGCGGTTAACACATAAAATTAATAAGTAAATTAAATCAAAATCAGTTACGTTTATTGTAGCAACTGCTCGATTGGAAAATAAATGACGGAGTGTTATAACTATGACTGCAGATTAGAGCGCAGCGAATTATCGATCGAACCGAAGACGCTTAAAACACGTAAGAACGACCTAGAGTCCCGATTGGTCGTGCTTCTTTGTCTAGCCCAGCCAGTTGAGTCCAGAACGCAAGTCTCAGCCTCTGAGATAAGAATCATTATATTTTAAACATACTCTGTTTATATACCAATCAAGCAGATCACAGCGTAAAATAAAATGTACAATAACATTTGTACAATACTTGGCGAACAGGAAAATGACACGTGAAGTAAATATTGACCAATAGGAAAAGGATACCATTTTAAGCCCAGGAATAGCATTAGACTTAACATGATAATTTTTGGGATATTTTTCTGAATATCCCAACACGGAGAATAACATATTTGGTACTGAAACAATTGATAATAACTTCCTAACTGACTGCTAGTTTGTCAGTTTATTCCTACAAACGAACCCTAAACGGCAGAGAGGAAGTAGGAAATATAAAACGCTTCAATTGAAGTTTAACAAATGTACCTACATCTCAGGGTTGATATACACTTTGGGACTTGAACTCAGTGCCGTTCGTTTCAAACGCCTTCGCGTTATCCACTCAACTACTGAGTCCTGATATCCACCTTCTTTTGCAATGGGTTAAAGTTTAATTCACTTGCTATTGTTTTACTTGGATCTTCCCATTGAGGTTTCAGACTGCAATTGATCAGTCTATTATTGATATGTGTGCATACTGTGCGTATTGCCTCGATATTGCCTTAATTTACAAGCATTATGAGTAAAGATGGATTATGGCTAACAGTGATATTGTTTATATTACAGATTACTGATAAACAAATATTTGTAAAAGTACTAATTCCGTGAGGAAATGTGAACACAGTTAATAAAACGGTTATAATACAAGATTACGTAATATGAATAATAATAATAATAATAATAACAATAGATTTGGTGAATATAATAAGATGATTAAAATGATTAAAATGTTTTTGTTATAATAATAATTAAAGGTCATAGAGGTGTAAAAATAAATAAATATGGTGATATAATGAGTATTCACTAATAAAACAATGAGAAATCTCATCCACTCTTTATGTTATAGAATACGTCAGATATGCAGTGAAGAATGCATTAACGAAGAACTGGAATTCCTCAAGAAAACCCTAACGAAAAATGGCTACCCAGAACGGTTCATAGAAAAGAATATGAATAGAGGTAGTTGTGACAAGAAACCTAGTTGCTCCGTTACGAAGAAAAACCTTTATATAAGTCTGGAATTTAAAGGTGATCGAACATCAGAAGTAATCAAAAATCGTCTAACAACAACTATTAGACGAACATTTAATGCAGCTAAATTGCGAATATTTACCAAATCTATTGTTATTATTATTATTATTCATATTACGTAATCTAATATTATAACCCTTTTATTAACTGTGTTCACATTTCCTCACGGAATTAGTACTTTTACAAAAACAAAATTTTCATATATAAACAAATATTTCAGTAAACAAGTAATTGATTCTCATTAATCATTATTCTAATTCATTGAAATATAAACATCTTTACTGGTCAACTTGATCCAAACCAGATGATATTGTAATACACATACACATTCATGTTGACCAATCAATATTCATTAAATTATCCAGTTATTACTATTGTCAACGTTTATAATTGGTTTATTATTCACAATAATAATAATAATAATCATAAAACTTGTCACCACTATTATCATAATGGTTATGATGATGATGAAGATCTGAATGATTTTAGCTATACTAATACTGATAATCAATTAATCTAATTGACGGAAACATTTCAAAAGTAATTGTATCTTGACGTGGAACATTTACTAAACATTAATTCAAGATACTTTATTTACTTCAAAGCAATATTGTTCATTGTTAATTACTATCATTATTATTATTATTATTATTAACAATCATTATGGCTTATTCAGGTTATTCAACAGATAATTCTGATACAGATCAAACTAATTCATATCCACTTAAAGAAAAATCAAAATTGAAAAAACGTATTCGACGAAATCATCATCGTAAACGTTTTGGACGAATGGCTAAATCATGGAAATTTATAAAATTGCGAAAATTATGGGAAAGAGATATGGCTAAACAAAGGTAAGTTATATATTCAGGTAAAACAAAGAAAAAAGAAATTCTTTTAACTTTTAATACATAATTTACATGAACGAAGAATATTCTTTTTAATGAATTTCTCAACAGCTTCTACAATTATCTCATATCTATATTAATAATCTATAAGATTGATCAGATTGAAGGCAGGGTGCATCATTTGGAAATTGTAATATGTGAATCAAGAATTGTTGTTTGTCATATTATCAAATCAAATCAAATCGTTCATATTGGAGCTGACTAATGTGAAGTTTCAATGGTTGAGATCATGGGTCAATTGAAGCTAGAACATCATGGAAAACCTTGAAGCACTGGATGGCCGTTTCTTCCTATTGTTGTTCAATTGAATCAGTTTATAAATGAAATAAAATTGTGGGATCAATAATGATCACAATAAATATGGTCAATCTGGAGTGAGAGAGAATAATATAATTACAAATTAGAAATTACGTAATATGTAGAATAATATGAATTAGGTCAGATATAGTAGATAGGTATAGATAGGTATCATTTCACTTGATAATCTTTATGAGAAATTTATTCAGTATCCACCCCTATGTACTATATCTGACCTAATTTATATTATTCTGCATATTACGTAATTTCTGATTTTTCTTCTATTATTCTCTCTCTATCACTCCATGTTGACCATATTTATTCTGATCATTATTGATCCCACAATTTCATTTCACTTATAAACTGATTCAAGTGAACATCTTCATATTATCAGTATAGGGGTTGTAAAGATTGTTAAGTTTTTGATTGAGATCATGAACCAATTGATATTAGACCATCATTGAAAACCTGGAAGCACAGGACGGCCGTTTCATCAATGGTGGTCTAACATCAATTGGTTCATGATCTCAATCAAAATCTTTATATTAGTCAGCTCCAACATCAACGATTTGATTTGATTTTATATATGATAAACAACAATCCATGATTCACATATTACAATTTCCAAATGATGTACTCTGCCTTCAATCTGGTCAATCTTATGGATTATTAATATGGATATGAGATAATTGTAGAAGCTGATGAGAAATTCATTGAAAAGAATATTCTTGGTTCATATGAATTGTGTCTTAACCTTTTAATTTTAGTCTTTTTTTCTCTTATTCACATAAAGCAGAATAAATTTTAGTAATAAAATCTCATAATATAAAAACAATGATCAAAATGAAACTGACATCAAAACTGGAGAACTAATGATAAATTACAAATCAGTGAATAGTGTTCTTCTTTTATCTTAGACTGGAACATTTCAGAATAAAATACATATGGAATCAAGTTAACAAATGTCAGTTTCTATGGTCAGCAGAATAACATTAAATCATGTAGCTAAAATTTGATATTCTATACAATCAATTTTAATTAGCTGTTATTTGATCAATGTTAGTTTTGTGATATGAGTTACTTATATCCATATAAGTAGTGTATAACGGTGATTAGGCATAGATTGTATTTCACCAAAAGATCGATAAGGAAAGAACGGAAACGAAACGTATGTGGTATGAAAATGCATGAACAATGAAATATGAGACAATGAACTGATATTCGCAACAAAAAACTGAAGTTTGAGACGATGGATTAATATTTTGCAAATTAACTTTACTATATGGTTCTCAGATTTGAATGACATGCTCTGTAATTTCGTGTCGAATACACTCGATTGTCCCTACTCGTGTTATTGTTTACTACAGTTTCCGTAGAAAATAAAATCACTGTTCAAACTATGTTTGACTAATTATTCCAGCATTTTCCAGAATTATACATTTTCAGGCTGAGCTATGAAACTTGTAAGTAGAAACCAGGTTTTCACTAAGTTTCACCCATTCTTTAAAATTCTTATCTGATTGAGGATTATACTTAACAAACCAAACTTCATAACTACAATCACTTAAGTAGATCATTCAATTCTAATCCAGTATAAACTGAAATAAAGTCTATAAAAGACTGTTCAGTCTCCTTTGGTATACTACAATTTCAGATTCTATCGTGATCGATTCGAGTTAAGTTCTAAACATGATTCAAAGTAAATATAAAAACTTAATCAATGTTTTTTTCAAATGTTGTTGAAATTACTTAGTTACATACTTACTTACTTAAGCCTGTTACTCCCAATGGAGCATAGACCGTCGACCTACTCTGTCCTACCTATTCTATCCAATTGATGTTCATTCTTCTCATGTCTGTCTCCATATCTCGACGTAATGAATTCTTTGGTATTCCTCTTTTCCTTTGGCCTTGAGCATCTATACTTTTAAACCTCATAGATTTTTTAAAAAAACCACTGGCATGATTGTCACTTTTGATTTGATAAACAATATTATTGATCTTTCCGAATACTGATCCTGGGTTTCACTATTGATTGAATTTTATCCCTTCATAAAGTGTTCTCAAAGTTTAACCTCTCTTGTTATGTTTATTACTATATTGTCTATTTTCTTTTGTTATGTATCTTGTCAATTTTTATTTCATTGCATGAATATGACTTTGAAAATTATATCAATTCACATCTTTACCCTGCTGGACGTTGATTATAACTAACTGATAAGTTTACTTAAGATTGATTCTATGCAGATGATTATTTTGTTCATTCTCATTTTTTTTTTGGTATTTTCATTATGTTACTGTTATTATTACTGTTTGCTTTTACAGAAGTATATCAGCACCTTTTGTTCCAATTAAAGCCAATAATAAATGGTAAGTTTGAAATTTTGTAACAATTAATAATAACACATTAAACTAGCTTAGTGATTAATTAGATTCATGAATCGATCTAATTTAGTCAACTATTAAAAAGCTTGAAGCATTAGACGACCGTTTGTTCATAGTATGGAACTACTCAGCAGTGCATATTCACGATTTCGTATACAAGACTGGAATCTAAGACTTTTGGTCTTACACGAGAATACTTAACTTCTAGACCACTGAACTGGCATCTAATGATGTTAATGTCTAACTTCAATTGACTCATGAATTTAACGTTTAAAATTACTACAAACTTCACAAATCCTTATTCTGATCATAAAATTATTTGCCAGTTTGTTTTAAAAGCCAATCAAATTTAGAACATGTTCAAATGTTCCTTTGAAAAGAACTATCAACAGTTATACACCATAGATATTTTTTAAATCTCTCTGTATGAATTGGTTGTAAGCAAATCACAAAGTACATAAGAAATTATTGTAAAAATAAGTAGTATTTAACAGGTCTCTCTTAAATACTGGATTATTCAGTCATAACATATATTGGATTCATAGATTGTACTGGTCACAGATTGATCTCGGTTAAGGTATATTTCAAAAGCAGAAAGATGTTCCTTCATAGTATAAGATTTCTCAGCGGTACACACGATCTGCTTAAGCATGAACTGTACTCATGACTTTTAGGTCTCTGGGAGATTTCTTAACCGTTAATACTTCTAATTCAGAGTTCACGAGTGAGTTCACTATGATAATCTAACTAAAAATGTTTTTTGAAGACTAGACTTATTTATAATTTGTAGTCATCATATATTACATCTGATATTAAATTAGAATAATGTTGAATTACAAATGAATAGCTAGTGAACATGTAAATCATTGAAATACAATTGAGTCGTTGACATTCAATACTTGACATATCTTAATCTCAACGAACCATATATAGTTATGAATATAAACTGTTGATTCAGTCTCTAACTATAAATACATATATCTGAGATAGTGGAAAAGGTTTGTAGCTCAACTGGATGGTTTTGATGGAGTTTTGTGCTCTGAGCTGGATGATTCGATCGTGAAGCTTTCATCGTTCTTCTGAACAATATCATCAACACAAACTTCAGATAGAAGTGAAGCGTTCTATTTTCTCCATATATGACAAGTTTAAGATCAACAAGAACCAATCAACATCGAGGTGTACAGGACAAGCTGCGAATCACATATATAAAGAAATTCGAACGCTTCACTTCTATCTGAAGTTTATGCTGATGATGTCGTTCAGAAGAATAATGAAAGGTCCAAGACCAAACTTTCCAGCTCAGAGAACAAAACTTCATCAAAATACTTATATATATATATATATATATATATATATATATATATATATATATATATATATATATATATATATATATATATATATATATATATATAGTTTTATTAATTTTCCATTAGTTTTCAATTAGGCGTTAGTAAATGATGAAAATTATAAACAATCATAATGTAGATTAACATAAACATTCATATACTATTCTATTTTGATTTAATGATGGTAGTATTTGTGGTTAATTAAAAAAAAATTGTTTATATTAAGTAAATTTAAACAAATATCTACTCAATACAAACTGTTTATCATTATTACTTTGATAGAACAATTCCATAGTTTAATTATCATAAGTATCAACAAATAGTGGATAATTAGTTTTAGTCATATTCAATAATGTCTATTCATAGAGTACAGGACTAATATATCTTCTTATTTAATACTTGTCATTTAAATGTAATTATATTCCAGTTTTGGTATTCATAACAGAATTTGATCTCAGTACTTATTGCTGAGCTATTAAATCGAGTTCCAAGTAGAATAAAACTCATAACTTGCATTCAATTAATAAGTATTATCTAGCTCTATTAAAATACTTGTGAATGTTTCAGAAATTCTAGTCAATCTGCTCAGGATTTCCATATGCTATGAGAGAATAGTCAATACCTAACAGTATAAGATGCATCTTCATGACGGTATCGTCTCTGAATAACTATGTGAAATGCAACAATTTAATACCAACTAGCATTTAGTAAATTCTACATTTTTGTCTACTTGCGTTTATCATATAATTATTAGCATAGCAGTACAGAATATTGAATTACTGTTTGAATATTTTGCTGTACAAACTTATTTATCAAATCAAATTAGCCTTCAAAAAAGAAAAAGAATTATAATCACTGTTATAAAACAACAATGAGAATGCTGAACGTCTATATCTAGAGTTTTTTGAGTTATCTTTTGAGATACAGTGTGGTATATTGAAGAATAATATTCACTGACCATAATGTCGAGGATTACTGACGCTTTATTCACTTAGCTACTGTGTCCGGATAGCCACCAAATTGTTCAACAGGTGTGAATTCATCTTGTAAGAGTTTGCGAATTTCTGTCATAAATGTTAAGGATGGCAATTGGTTAGTCGTTATTGGTGTATGATCATCATAACCGAACTGCTTCACTATTCTCATTTGCTCATAAATTTGAAATGCAGCCAGTTGCAAGGTCCATGAAGCATTGGTGTTTATAGCAAGAGCTACTGGGTTCGAGTCCTGGTCCGAACATCAATACCAGGATTCGGATATAAGTACTTGATAAGTTTTGAATAGGACATAACGTGATTCCTGGTTCCCAATTCCAGCTACTACCTAACTTCACTTATTCCTATAACCTAATGGTAATATGAAATAAATTTACGATGAACATACGCGTATAACTTTTGATCAACAAAGGGAAAACACAAACTCAATAAATTAGAGTCTCTTCTTCTATACGTTTCAAATGAATGTTCTTTGTTTTTACATATTCTGTAGTTTTGTGAGCATTATGTCACAATATTCAACTCATCCGGTTCCGAAGGCTATCAGATCTTTAGACAGTTGTTATTCCTTTTATTCACTTTTAAGCAGTAATTTATAGTAGAATGGTTAACTATTTGAATAGACTAACCATAGTAAAGTGAACCTAAGTAAAGAGAGAAGTGACAAAAAGTGATTGCATAATTGTTTGACGATTAATTGATGATAACTGTCGATGGATAACCATCTTGTTCAGATGGTACATATAAAACATTTAAGTAAATTAAAGTAGTATACTTATTTAATGTTTTAATGGGTGTATTCCGTTTATTAAAAAATTCCAAGGACCCTTCGACAGTAAAGGAACTTAATAAGTTTCTGAGTTATTCTGTTAAACGTGCGGAAGTGAATGCGAAGGTTACCTTTATTAAGGATTGTGTTAAAATGCACAAATATCCTAAATACTACTGAAAAATTCTTCGAAGAAACCATATTTATCTAAACTCAAAATCTCTTAAACGCCATGCACAAAATGTTATCGATTCTATTCGTCCATGCATCCCGTTATTGAAATTTAACATTTCACAAAGTTCTCCTGTATTATATGAATTATCACCTAACGAACACAATCTTTTCACCGAATATTTTATTACATTTATCGACAAACGCATGAAAAACTTAATATCGGACCTTACTAAAAGTTTAAAAATCACAAAAACACAGGATAAATTTTCTAGCAATCTTGAGAGATATGTGTTTAATCATTCTTCAATATCCTTAACAAATGTACAATAAGAAGCCTTATCTTTGGGGATAAAATTCTATGGCATAAATGAAAAAATATTAACAAAATCAACACACATGTTCGATTTGAAAACTTAATCAAACAAACAAATGGTCTTAGTCCAATCTCTGATCAAGAATTCCAACGTTTCAAATCTACACTTCTCAATAGCTGCAACCAATATATTAGCGCAAAAGTAACAGGCAAAAGTCTTTTAACAAAAGAACATAGAAACCAGATAAAACTACATAGAAATAATAAAGACTTGATTATAACACGTCCGGATAAAGGTGCTGGTTTAGTACTGCTTGATCGCAAGATTTATTTTGAAAAAATGATAACGTTATTATCAGATGACACCGAATTCTCAAAACTAATCAATGAGAAAAACAAGACTGAAATTATAGAAAAGCAACTAATTGAAGTTCTTAGGAGAATGAAAAGTGAGCAGTTAATCAACGAACAGGTCTTTCAGCGCATAAAACCAACAGCATCAATAATAGCGCGATTATACGGTCTGCGAAAAATACACTAACCTGGCCTACCTCATAGACCAGTTCTTGATATGTCAGGATCCCCCTACCACTCTATAGCAATGTGCCTAGAATCCATTAGAAAACGCATTTGTAAACATTCCGTACGTAAATTTTTTGAATTTATCGAGGACATAAAAAAGTGAATGTAAGTGACAAAATTATACTATCTCTGGATGTCAAATCATTATTCACTAATGTTTCACTCACAGAGACCATTCATTTTATCTGCAAGTACATAAATAATAAGGAGATAAACACTGGGATACCAGATGTTTATTTTAAAAAACTATTACTACGTTTCACTTGCAATGTACAGTTCACATTCAACGACGTAATTCATAGACAGAAGGATAGTATAGCAATGGGATCCCCACTTGGTCCATTACTGGCAGATTGCTTCATGGCCAGTTTAGAAAACAACCAACTCAGAACAATGATAGAAAACCTCGACTTGTATAAAAGGTACGTGGATGATATCTTTATCGTTTGTGACGACAAATGTGACTTAAGTCATCTCCTAAAGACATTTAATAATTGTCACCCATCAATAAAATTCACACTTGAAGTTAAAAACAAACAAAATATTCACTTTCTTGGTGTGGAAATGACAAAAAAGCAAGACAGTACTTTAAAAAGATCTATCTACAGGAAACCCATGTGGAATGACCAACTATCAAGTTTCCACAGCTGAGTTTCCATCAGCCGAAAAAGAAACTTAATAATAACACTCGCTACAAGAATACGAAGAATCTGTAGCCCCGAGGTCGTAGATGAAGAATTGAGCCTTTTAAAGGAGATACTTATCAAAAACGGGTATTCTTCGATATTCATTGATAAGAACATGAAGCCGAAAACGCCAAAAACACAAATAATTACAGCAGAAAAGAAAACTTTATAGATGAACATCGACTTCAAAGGTGATAGAACCACGTATATCTTAAAGAGGAGAATTTCGGATTCCTTAAAAAGAACATTCTTCACAGCAACATTGCGAATATTATTCGCCAGCCGATCATTGTTCCCCAATAATCTGAAAAATAAATTATCGCATCTGACCAACTCAATGTGCATTCACCAATTAACCTGCTCTTGTGGAGCTAGGTATATAGGTCGTTCGATGCGTATTTTATCCAAAAGAATTCAAGAACATTGTCCGGCGTGGCTAAAAAGAGGAGGCAACAGCTCAATGAGAAATTTTTTAAAATAGTATACCCACTAGAACTGACTTTAAGAAGGATTTCTTGAATTTTTACAAAAAAAACCCACAACCGGTGGAGATAACCAGGTTTGTAATTAGAAAACTACCTATCAGTGATCGACTAAAGTTGAGTAAAACCAAACCATTCAATTGTAACTCTCTGACTAACAAGAATTAGGTTTAATGCAGAAGTGACAGTATTCAAATTTAAATTATTCAACCCAAAAATTATTTTTTGTAATATAGAAAACACTTACAACTCAATATGTATTCATGATAAACCTGATGAGTAAACGATAAATATACGGTTTATAGGATAAATATCAGTAGTTGAATTCAAAACATCCATATTTGTTACTGCTTATCGGTTTGTTAATTTCAATGACAAATATTTTCAATCTTAAATACATATATATTGTTATGAGAGAAGAGTTTTGTGAGTATGAATCTCTTGAGGCAGGATTGTGGATGCGCACTGCTGAAGAGTCCTATATTAAGATGAAACGGCTGTCCAGTGCTTCCATCTTTTCCATGATGGTCTAGCTTCGATTAACTCATGAATTCAACTATTAAAATTACATATATTGTTATTTAAATGAAAAAAGAGATTGTGTTTTGTGTTCCCGTCATATTTAGCCTTGAAACGTTACCTTCTAGTAGCTAAATTCTTCTTTTCTCAATATTTTCTAATGATTTATTTTTTAGTGAATCTATGACAGCCAGTTTACTTTTCATGTTTGCTATAACACAGTGTATATTTGGATTTGTATTACCGATATGTGATTCATTTGGTATGAAAGGATCTAAACTTTATTATGAAGCAGGTCATAAGTATTATTTGGAAGTAAGTCATATTTTGTTAATTTAGTCTTATTGAGAGATCTAAAGGATTATTGATATTTAGAGTAATTATATGTGTTGCTTGGACTCAACCACTTCACACTTTGACATGCAATATTTGTCGTCGTAGAAATAGGTTGGAAGAAGGTTAGGAGTGGTTGAACTACGAAATTGAATAGGTCTATGACGTAATCAACTGTTAAACTGAGCACCATAGATAGTTACAGACTACCTAGCTGATACCTTTGTGATTATCGAAACCAATGGCAGGAGACGTTGGGTAACATGGCCTAGGATCAATCGCAATAATACAAATGCATTTACTTTTTGTTTTTCCTTCGACCTTGAGTTCCGCAAGAATGTTATACCTATTCTTGGTCACCAATTTTATGCTTACTTTTAAAAGTAGATTGTCTTCGTCGAATTCTATAATCTATCTTCAAATTTAATCATTAGCTATACAATATCTTCCATAGTTTCACCTGTCTTACTTTTTCCTATTCAAACTTTAAAGTGAGTTTTTGTTCTCTGAGCTGGATGGTTTGGTTATAAGACTTTCATTGTTCTTCTGAATAAAATCATCGGCGTAAACTTCAGGTAGAAGTAAAGTATTCGAATTTCTCGACATATATGTTGCAGCTTTTCTTGTCGACCTCAATCTCAACTGGTTACCGTTGACCTTTAACCTTTCATTGAGGATGCCTTCTTCATTTCCGCCTGAAGAAACATCAATTGTCGGTCAAGTGCCATGACATATCCTCAATGATTTCAATGAATGTGGACAATCGTGGACACACATTAGATTGCAAAAGTGTTGATATCTTGAATAGAGGTAATACTAAAAGCACCAGGAAATGTTTAGAAGCTTGACACTCAGACTAATCAACAATCAGCGAACACATTGAAATCTATAAACCAATCAGAAAGATTGTAGACAAATATTGGACCAAGAATCGAATCACTTTGAGATACAATCAAAATAAAGAAGTAGATAATGACAGGTGAAAGATCAACAATAACAAACTTAGATCGAAGTCAACACGAAAAGTTGCAACTTATATGTGGAGAAAATCAAAACACTCACTTCTACCTAACGTTTATGCGGATGATGTTCAGAAGAACAATGAAAGCTCCACAACCAAACCATCCACTCCAGAGAACAAAACTTCACCTAAAACACCCATCTGAGTTGCAAATCTACTCGGCTATATTAAAACTTTATTAAAAATCCATTTCGAAGCAGGTCATTTATGTATAATAAATTACTGAAACTTGGACAAACTGAAGCATTTATCCCAACCGTTGCTGCTACCTTGATGTGGTTGTCGAGCTTGCCTATCGTGATGAAGCAACCGAGCTATACTGGCTGGAAAAATTGTTCCTTAAGGTCCTACCATATCAGACAGGTCGGTTGAAGAGCGGTAAGACTAAAAGCAACAAACCCAAAATCCGAAGGCGAAGTCGTACTGCTGACTGTATAGAGGTGTGACAGCAGTAAGGTGTTTCCTTAAGACAACCAGCATAACAGAGATGCTGCCTTTTCACAAGGAGGGGTGTGTTGGAAAAGGTAGACCCTAAATATACACACCTCGCTTTATCCACGGATATCCGTCTCCGATGGTAAGGTCTCAACAAAAACTACTCATAAAAAGGTCGTGTGTAACCGACCTCAAGCAGTTGTCCCTTGGGCACTGCGGTCACGCTCTCAGGTCACTAAGACCACCTCTAATCCAATTTCCTTTTCAGGTATTCTCCAGAAGAACTCTTCCACGGTGTGGGCAACCGGGAAGTGATAACCGACCTCATACCTTTAACAGCACTCAAGACCACTATATTCATTCATTGAAGCATTTATCTATAATTATAGCTTTTATGAAAATTAATGTCCACTGATATTATTATGTAATAGTAGTATTATTAATTGTTTACTCACCTTGATTTCTCTTATTTCTTTTTTCATTTACTAGATATTTCTAATTTCTCAATATTGTGGAGCATTACTTGTATTAGCTTATTTACAATATTTAATTTATAGTGGAACTAAAAAACAGTTAAAACAAGCCCTTATTCATGAAATTTATAAATCTAAAACTGGTCGTCAATTAGTTGATGATAAACATATGAGTAAGTAGGTTTTAATAAACAATCGTTTTTAATATTATAAGTATATTTCTTTATGATTTAAAAAAAAAGTTAATCTCATCGTTAAAAGAGTAACCATGGCAATTAGAGAGAAGCTAATTTTGAAGCCCCATCCAAACCAACCATCTGAACTACAGATCTTTTCAACCATCTCAGAAGTTAATTAATTATCCTTTTAAACTTTCTAGGTCTACACAAATGACCTCATAAAAAATTAAAGGAAGAACTTTCAACTAGTAAAACAGATAATATATATTTAATCTTAGAAGGTGTTTTGTAGAGAATTTAGTAATTTCAATAGTTGAAATCATCATGGAAAACCTGGAAGCACTGGACGGTTTTTTCATCCTAGTATGAGACTCAGCAGTGTGCATCCACGATCCCTCTCCCCGAGTTTTGTTCCAGGTTTCCATGGTAGTCTAGTTTCAATTGACTCATGATTTCAACTATTGAATTTACTAAAATCTCCACAAAACCCTTTCTAATATTAATCATCTGCTCACTAGTGACTGACTTCAAGGGGCGTTTCCTGAAGTTCTATTGAGAGGTGGAGTTCAACCAGGTATGTTGTGAGATATCAACTCACTGAAGACAATGGTGTACAGTGTTGCAATTTCGTGGACTGATTAAAGTTAGACATTAACACCGTTGGATGCCAACCGGCTCAGTGATCTAATGGTTAAGCTCTGGCGCACGAGACTGATAGGTCCTTGGTTCGAATTCTGCGGGAGGTGGGATCGTGGGTGCTCACTGCTGTGGAGTCGCATACTAGGATCAAACGACTGTCTAGTGCTTCCAGGTTTTCCATGGTGATCTAGCTTTAATTGACTCATGATTTCAACTATTGATATATTGAATCCACTTAATTATATTTCAATTGCCAGCATTCATAAATTCAGTTCATTTAAAATATAGAGTGATAGATGTCCAGCCCAATTAATGATAATTGATTCACTGAAATATCACGACTTCTCAATGAAACTCTTGAAGCTTCGAATCTAATAAGAACAATACTAGTTATTTTACAATACTTGATCCTTTAAACTTATCTTTGAATATAAACATCTTCAGGTCACTTATGTCAATATTATAATTATGTGGAACTGATTGAGTGACATATAAATTTAAATGTATTTAAAAATTCATAACATCTTTCTTAGGATAATCTATTAAAATGACCAAAAATGATTTAGTATTATGATTTTACCTGATATAATCTGATCTATTATAGTTTAATAAAGAATATCACGTATTGATTATAGCTGGATAACCATTAAAAACTAAGAAACACTAGACACATATTACCTCTAAGTACGTTATTGCTCAGTAGTGAGAGTGTACGAGTAAGTATCTGAATTCAGTCATATTGGAAGTGAAACACTTACCAATCAATGTCGTTGCATGATGACTGCACGACTTTATGAATTAACTGAGGTCAGAAATTTAAACTATTGAATTCTAACTGGTTCATTTTTTAAGTGCTTACCTCGACGCCTGAAGGTCTTAGGTTCAATGGTTGGAAATGTATGAATTTACAGTGATTAGGATTGTCATACTGCAACAAAACAGTTATCCAATACGTTCTAGTTTTCGGCGTTTGCTTAACTAAAGTCAGTTCGTGATATAATTCCATAATTTCCACAGGCTTTCTACACTAATATAATGCTTAACTGTTTAATAGCATATTACAGTATTACATCACTTAATGTACCGGAAGGGATATTTATGAAATATGATGTAGCCATTTCGTATTAATCTATCAATTTACTGGTTTGAATTTGATGTGTCTTAAATGTTGTCCACTAATTTGTTCACTGAATGAGTTGCAATAATGTTAAAAAAGACATTACAAACTCAAATAACACAAGACTAGCAAGCTCCTTATCTGAATAGCTACCTTGTCTCAAAGAACTAATGACCAACTAAATGTTGACATGAATACAAAACGTCTAGCAGTAGTCCACTTACAATTTTCCTTATACATGAAAGTAAAGTGAATTGGTTTCATTCAATGTTCCCTTCCAAAAAACACACACACCTTTTGGTCTTACTAATGACAAAATAAAAGATTATATCATTCAATTTTAAGTACGGATTACAGTTGTCCAAATAGAACATTTAACATTGTAGTAACATTTATGTCCAAACATTAGTTACCTAATGAATGAATAGTGAGTTAGAGTACAATTACTACAACAGTTTAACATATATCGTACCACAGTATCTTATTCCAGTTTAAATTTTATTGCTACTTTAATCTTCAATGTAATATCAACAAAGACTTCTACTAACTAAACATTTATTAAGTAATTTGATTGACATTCTGATAAGTCTTGTGGATTGAACGCTATATTCGTTTCCTAAGCTATTCTGTAACCCTCAAAGTACAACTATTCAGCGACCTGAACAACGAGAGAGAAGACTCAAAGTATGCGAGAAGTACTTTACTCCAAGGTTCATTTCAATACAGAAAATACAGATTTTTTATAATGTTTTAAATGTCCTTGAGTTGCTAGAAGATTCTGGATTGCTACTAAACATAGTACCAGTGTAGCAATCAGCTAACCAGAACCTCTGCGTGTGACGTTTCACTTCCTTGATATTTTTGGCTAAGACTTCAATTGAACGCTGATAGGAGGAAACACTTCTTAGTGTTTTCTGATTCTTGCTTGTCTTTTGCGAGAAATTTACCGAATCCAACCCAAAACATCCAATCAAATTTAAAGTCCTTCTATATTCAACTTAACTCTATCTAAATTAAAATCAAATGACTTGAATAATCAGTCAAACAGAATAGAAAAAAATTACTAACAATCATACATGTCAATTAAATCTATTCTATTCACGTTGTCAAGATAGTATGATACTCATTATATAGACAAGCAAGACAACAATGACCTATTATTTATCCATAGTAATCATCAATTCATGATTAGTATACTATTATACCAAATAAATACATCTTAATTAGTCGAATAATTAGAAATCTATAATCTATATTCAAATAGTAATAATAACAATAATAATCTTATTCTTTAAATGTATGATTTCAATAATGATGATATAACCTTCTTTACTTTGTTAAATTCCTGTCATATTCTACTTCATCATTATATTATAGAATTGAATTGATTATAATGAGATTCATTTAACAATATAAGTAGTAACATAAAAGTTCATTTTAGTTTTTGAATTATAATAAGCAAATGAATCGTTTTACATTTATATAGCTAAATAATGGACAATATCATTCAATCATAAAAATTGCTTTAAATTAAAAGAATGTTATAATTTGAAGATAATTAATGTTTCCTAAAGTTGGTAACATGTATGCCAGTCAGATCGTATACTGTAACAAGAGAAAACAATAGATGTGATGCAAATCTATGGAGACTTGTAATAAGTGAACATTTCATATGACTAAAGACACAAGATGAGTTTTTGGCTCGGATCCTCATAGCTTCTGTTGCATAAGAGATGAGATCGAACTCCATAAAGAAAACTAGTAGTAATATGATATATCACTTTAAATAAACTATTCCTATCTATTACACAACTGCTATTGATTAAGTATGATAGAACAGAACTAAATATTGTGTTGACGATAACCTTTCTTAACCGTTCTGTACACTTCATATCTTTGATTTATCCTCTTTTTATATTAATTCATTTAAGTCTTAAATAGTGCTTGACTTTTCATTTTAATATTCATCAAAACCTCTGTTAGTCAATAATGTCTAAAACCGAAAATATTTTATTCCCTTTACAATGTGTTATTCTGTCACTGAAAGTTTCTGAATACTATCTATGTGAGCTTTGTAATTTCGCCTATTCAAAGGAAATCATTTCTCAATTGATTGATCACTGGGTGGTGATCATTGTCATGTGTGTCAAGTCCTTATTTAGTGCAGATCGAATGCTTTCGACCATGTTGCAACGTGGCTACCATTCTAGGTGACTCGACACTGCGTGTACTATATATTGAGATTATATGGTGGTTGGAGGTAGTCGACAGGAAACCCTGGACCTGAAGCTTAGTGACACGGATCGAATCCGTCAGGGAGCACCAGTTCCCTCAAGATTATAGGTACACCTTGCTGAAGAGTGCCAAGTAGCACGAAACCCGGGTTCAGGGTTTCTTGCTAACTACCTTCAACCACCATCTAATCTCAAAATCATTTCTCTTCAATGTTTATTAGACTCTTATTTCAAGTCAAAAGACAGAGTATCATCAACAGATTCTCTTTTAGTTGAAGCAAAAAAGTTTCTATTGTACTTCAGGACAACTTCATTAGATAACATGAAAAGGAAAGCTTGACAGTCAAACCACAAATATTAAAAAAAATCTTGACACATTCAACGAAAAACTCTTCATTTAAATTTAGATTTTCTTTTATTATGTCGTCAATGAATTCCCGATCAATAATGATCTTGGTACATGTTTTCTGTCCTAATGTCTCGTTATCTTTGATTTCCCTGTTAATATAGAAGGTTTCACATCCGAATTATTATATAAACATGGTACATGTTTTGGGGATTAGTCAACAATTTCTTTTACGATATGCAAACTTCTATATATTACTTATTATCCTATATTGTTTCTCATTATTTTTCTTCCCGAACTTTTGAGGAAAGATTTCTCTCTGTTGTACAGAATTATTAAAGCAATTAATAAGATGTATAGTGGATTTTTTGATATCATTAGGAAATCTTGAAAACAAAACAAATAAGAACCATTGAACCCGTTAATATCTTTCTTTTTAGATATCTTTTAATAGAACAAGACGTTGATACATTGAAATCAATGCATTCAAACATATGTTCAAAAGCTCTATAATACAATATCTAGCGTATATACTACTACTAAAAATCTAATAGGTTGTAAGATATCTATTGACTTGTATACAATAATTAGTAAATTCCAAGACCGTTTCCATCTTATTGAACGCTTTCGATAAAGTAACAACTGTATACTTGGGATTAATACTCATAAAACTTCATATTTTCTGACAAATATTTCCCCTAATTATATCTACTTATTTCATGTTTCAACATGCGTATGCATTATTTTTTGTAACCTATACGTAGAATAAGAACAGTATGCTGAAATACAGTATTCTGAGAATTCCATATTCTCATAACAATGGTTTAAATTGAGTATATCATTAATCATAGAAAATAGTTATATATAAGTAATATCCTAATGAATAGAAAAATTAAATTTACAGATGTTTCGTAACTTAGTGTAAGCCAGTTCTTCAGAGAATAAATAAGTGGACAAATTCAAATAATTCAGGTTTAAACAGTATTAATAGGAGAAAGCAAAAAATATTTGATATAATCAATCGAAAAACAGATCTGATTAAGTCATTAATAAGTTATTTATAACTATTATTATTACTACCCTCACAATTACTGAGAATTTACACTCATTTAATAGCTTAATTCATGAGTCAATTGAAACTAGACCATCATGCAGAACCTGGAAGCACCAGACGGCCTTTTCATCCTAGTAAGGGACTCCTATGTACGCATTTACAATCCCACCCCCCGCAAGATTCGAACCTAAGACCTATTAGTCTCGCGCGCAAACACTTAACCTCTAGACCACTGAGCCGGTCGGCATCCAACCTTGTTATTGTCTAACTTCAACCAATCCACGAAATTGCACCACCGTCAATGATTGTCTGTAGTGAGTTACTATCTTACAATACACCCGGTTGAACTCCACTGGTCACTGCTTCTCACTAGAACTCTAGGAACTATGATATGACTGGAAGAAAAGTCAAAATTTGATTGATTTACTCATTATGAGTTTTGTTCAAGATTACTTCTGTTTTGATTCAATGTGATGATCATTCAGTGTATTAGTTGTTTTGTCTTCTCGTATGATATTTTATTCTGTATAATATACGATATTCTTGTATTCCATTGACATGAACTATGCTCGATATGTGATTTGTTATATATGTGATTTAATACTAATTATTAATCAAAATGGGTGTACAATCAATATATTTTTCGATTAGGGTCGTCGTGGTCGTCATAGTGTTTTGGGGTCAATAAATCTTCACTTATACCAGTCTTTGTATTCTTACTTTCGCGTCGTTGGAATTGCAGAGGTCCCTCATTTCGAGTATAAGTGAAAAGTGATATAACAAGAAGCATTAAACGATAAGGTATATTAGTGATGATAGGGATTTTGGAAAAAAATTGAAAAGACATATCATTGGCAACGGGATAAAAAAAGAGCCAAGGCAATCAGCATTCAATTGACAAGTTATAACAAAATACCTCTTGGAGACCATCACTAGTGAGCTTATGATTCAGTTGTGTATTTAAAAAAAATTTTTGGTACATTTGGTACATTTAATAACATTCTCTTTCATTTATATTATAGTAATTAATGAACATCATGAATTGAGTGAACCAAATATAGTGAGTTGAATCAATGATTATAATGTACATTTTTGATTACTATGTTTTATTATTGGTGGTTTCGAACTATTTTAATGAAGTGTTACTATCTTACATCAACAAGAGAGTAAAATCAGTATTAGATAGTTATTTCACTCACAATATTATATTACACGGTATCGAAACTTTTGTGTTTAAATCATTACTTTGTAGCGTGGTGTCGAGTGGAGATTGACTATGAACACCACTACCAAGAAACTCATGCCAAATGACTCCATAAAATCCCCCGGAAGCCAAATATCAGAAGGCAGTTAATGGACCAAGTCGAGATATATTTGGTGGCGATCTCGTGGTATCGAAAGGATACCGAGATCGTGCCAGGATACAATCTTGGTTACAGAACGTAACCGAATTCGCGCGAAGTCACAATCAAAGTGTATGAATAAGGGATGCTTTTTAGCACAGTTAAACAAAAGCACATTAAAACAGTCACTGATAAAATAATAATTGTCTTCAATAAACAAATCGTGTTCTCGTGATAAAAGTGAGTGACTACAGGAGCCACCCGCTAGAAAGGGTTTACACTTTCCATAAATAGCGGTTTAAATCGTGGGACCAACCGGGTGACGAGCGATCGTAGGACGGAAGAATTGGCGAACAGGAAAGCGACCGTTGATCGTCGAGTTGCCAACGAAGGTCGTTTTCGGAGAACGGTACAATGAGCGATGTGCTGTATTTGTTGCTTGAGTTGGTATGCCACACCAGAGTGGTTTGTATCCAGAATCTGAGGATTGCGTTCGTAGTGAATGCGGACCAGAAACGCTGCAGATGTAGGACGAAACAACGTTGAGCCAAAAGACCAGAAGCGACCGTAACGACCAAGTTCGAGACCAAGCGTATGCCAAACATTCAAAACCAATATATCGACTGAGTGCGTTGACAAGAGCGTGGGGGGCCAGTCCAGCTTTCGCCAAAGTTGACTGAAGTCGACGGAACCAAACGGAGATGGTCGAAGTCGTGGGCTCAGGAAACAAAAAAAAATCAAAAAAGAGAAGAGTGTAGCATGCGTGTAGTATAGGAATAATCCTACACCGTATCGGTTGTTGACTGTGCGACTAGTCGCAGAAGCGTACGGGTAACCGTACTCGGCGACCGGAACGTGAGACGGTAGTCTCGTTCGTATTTCGTGAGCCTGCAATCTCATCCGAGGTCAGAGGCGGCATCATCTGCTGATCTGGACGTGAGACTGTCGTCTCGTTCGTAGACGGGACAGATGACGCATGCTGTTGACCGCGACGTGAGAATGAGGTCTCGGATGTATCTAGCGTGGGATCTGAAGAAGATTTAAGGATCCCGATAGGTTTGATAGGTCTAGCATTGAATCTCAAGTTATCAGATAGGGCACTGTCATCGACGTGTGCTGGTTTGAGACGATCAATGCTGACGATCTCGACGCGGCCATATCGATCAAGCTTGAAGATCTTTTCGTGACGAGCGATCACGTTGAAAGGGCCTTCGTAAGGTTGTTGCAAGGGTTTGCGTACCGAATCTACTCGTATGAAAACATGTGAACAGGTAGATAACTCTGGAGGGAGAGCGACCTGTCGATGTTGTATTCGAGTTGACACCGGGGACAAGTACGTCCAGCTGACGAGTGCCAAATAGGACGAAACGCGAATCCTGGACTGCACTGCTAGTCACTATCCATTTTTTACTTATTACAAGTGTGTTTCTCAACATTAGTCTTAACATTGTTAACTAAAACATTACTTCATAACTTAAACAAATTTACAATTTTAAAACACTTAGTCCCTCTGATAAATTTCGTTAATGCATTGAGCAGATGAAGGTTATCAGCATTATGTTATATACTTGCAAGATAAATTTCGAGCGATCTGATCACACATATACTTGTTAAGACATTTTTATATGGAAACTAAAAGTTCAAGGAGATAGGTTAAAGGTGAGCCGTAACAAAGGCAAATAAAGTACACAAAAATAATGTGATAACCACACTGAATAATAAATCAGTATTACAAGGGTAGGTTAAGAGTAAGAACAAATTGTTTGTGAAAGCATAAAAGGAGGTTTCAGTTTCCGTATGACCAAGGCTTCAATAAACCTTAGTATACGTTCTTGTAGGCTTTTTTATAACACTACAAATGGTGATTTGATGTCAACCATATGACTGGTTTCAATCAAATGTTTCTCAATAGAGGATGATGTCTGTTTATCCTAAATGAAGCATTAATTACCTCTATATACTTCATATGAACACTGTTTGCAAATCATGTATGATTTTTTTTCTAATGAATAAATTGTAATTGAATTCTAATACTACATTTCCAGGAATTATCTTCCTCATCTTTTTCCATTCAGTCAGTATTAATTTGGATTTTCTTTGATAAATTTATGATTAAACACAAAGAATTAATAAATTTAATGGTTGTGTACAATTGATTTGTTGATCACGTTTTATTTATTTATTTGAACACATCAATGTTGGTACAAAGCGAAACCCAACGGATATGTGCCACACAAGTCGCTTGATTTGTGTGCGGGCTGTGATACAGCTCGGGTGCCCAAAACGAAGCAGGTGGTTTTCTTAGGGCGCCACACCCCGAGCCTTCGACATAAAGGTCTGACCCACAAGGCAGTAGAGCAACATTAAGAGTTGCAGTCCTATGGTAGCCCGTGACCAACAATAGGTGTATAAGCCATTTGTTTTCTTAGAATTCTGGAGCCCATGTGCACTATTGATTTGGAATCAGGGTTTTCCAACTCTCATAGGTGAACTCTCCATGTCCATCGAACCGGCTAAAGTGCCGGACATTCACTTTTCGTCCTCTCAATTTCGTAAACAACAGTAAGGCCTCAGGGAGGCAGTGAGCAGACTTTCTCTGGCAGTGGCTGAATTGGTGTGACCGTATGAGAGATTTTCTAGAGGGAGGGCTGACTCTCCCCACTCTCGGCCTTACCAAGGCATTTGATCACAACCCACACATATAAATTATCGACCAACCTAGATGTCCCACTCCAGAAGATCAATTGGGTCCCGAATAACTTTGTGGTAACGTCTTTGACCCTGAATATATGGGTTATGGAAGCATGAATATATAAGAGTGTATCAGTTGCCTCAAGATTTCAGTTTCGCCTTCTTGAATGAATGTCTACCATCCCAAAACCTAGGTTCAAGGTTTTATGATATGTACATGCAACATACTAATATCAATAAGATAGTCTGCGAAATATCAAGTCACTTAATTTAATGGCCACACTAAAATTTATTTGAAAAGATCCGATCAGCACTAAAGACTGGATAGATATGTATACAATACCATGTAAATTTAAAAAGTATCATAAACTTTAATAATTAGATGTTTTAATCAATTAAAAAACACAACTTTGCAAGTCATTCAGATAGTCAGTATAGACGATTTCTGATTCTGATTAACTAACAAAACATTATAGCAAAGAATAGAAATAATTTAAATTAATGAAATGCCTTTTTACATCCGGAAAATTTTTATTATTATGGTTTTACATTAGCATATGTGTAGTAAAGTGTATGTAAACGAAGATGGATAATGACTAGCAGTGGAGTTCAGGACGCACGTTTCGTCCTACTCAGGACTCATCAACTGGATGTACTTGCATCTCAGAATTGATGTTCACTCTGGAACTTGAACCCAGTACCTTTTGCCATTGCGTTATCCACTTAGCTACTGAGTCCTGATAACCACCTACTTGTGCAATGGGAAGATACAAGTAAATAACATCAAGTGAATATAACGTGTATATACTTGGTGGTTTATATATATACAGGGAGAGAGTAGTTTTCTACTTCTTCTTCACACATAAATTTTTATATCACATTTTTTTAGTTGATAAAATCAGATTATACAAATAATTCTTCACCAGTTAGTCCAATTGATAAACCATCTGATATTGAATCAACAACAAGTGAACGACAACTGACACGATTAATTCATCTTTACAATGATAATAATAATAATCAAGAGAAACCTTATATATCGATACATCCGGAAGGAATGAATTTATATATGCGACTTGGAGCAGTTGGTAAGCTTAAAGACAATTATAGAATTTTTTGTCAATTTATAAATATCAACATTGATTCAATTAAATATTCAGGGTATCTATTTGTTTGATCATACAATTTGGTAAGGTTTTGTTTTCAAATTTTGTTAAATCAACTTGGATTGACTTCAAAATTTTCAAATTATAACAATAAGAAACTGTTAGGGTATGTGAATGGAATGACTGAATGTTGTTTATCTAGATTTATTAATTAAACCAAGATATATTAATAGAACATGAAGTCATTGACCAATTAATACAGTTAAGTAATTGGGTACAGATTACCTCGTAATGGTAATGGTTAATCAATGATTTTTAACACAAGATGACTTGACTCGGAATCAGTTGCAATGGTCCAAATGCATCCCATCTTTGCAAACTATCTTACACTTTTTATCCAGTTAACTTATTCTTTCGCCTAGAATCATACTATCATCCGGAACTCGAACTCAAGACCTACGTTCACATATGAGAACATTCAACTTCTAGACTACTGGAGCGGCTTTTAATGGTTATAATGTCTAACTTTAATCGATTCACTATATTGCATAACTCTCATTCATTGCCTGAGGTGGATAAATATCTCATACCTCAAACACACTGAACTTACTGAGGTTAAGCATTTGCTCGCAAGACCGAAAGTCCTGAATTCTACTCCCAGATATGAGATGGTGGATGTGAACTGCTGAGAAATTCCATAGTAAGATAAAACGTCCTTTCAGTGCTTCTGGGTTTCCAATAGATCCCCTATACTAGCATTCACTAATTTTTTTAATGGAATCACAATAAAAACCAGAAATTATACTTTGTATCTGATTTTTTCTTTAGAATTTGGGAGAATTGACCTGAATTCTAATTAAAATGACATATTTGATATTTACTTTCAACTCCATAAATTTATATAAACGTATACAAATGTGGTTTAGTTAGATAAATGAAATTTGTTTATCAGTTCAACATGAGGTTACTTTGTAATTATGTTTCGAAAGTATCTTGGTCTCCAAGCAAATGCAAGAATAGTGGACAGTATTGACTACTTCAAACACGAAACTTTATTACAACTATGGATTACTTAAAGGTTTAATTATTCATAACATTTTATGAAATATCAATAATAAATAGAAGAAATCATACTAGAAATTTAATGCTTTCCATTGGAATCTACAAATCAATATATCAATTATTCAATAATATCATCATTAGTATGGGTTTCTGGTGACTGTTAAACTTTTGATTGAAATCATGAACCGATAAATGTTAGACTATCATTGTAAACCTTGAAGCATTTAACGGCCGTTTCGCCCTATCATGGAGCTCCTTAGCAGTGCTCACTCACAATCATTAACATGGTACCCGAACCCGGAACCTTCAGACTAGCGCAAACACTCGACCTCTAGACTATTGATCCGGGATTCGTTAAGGGATGCAAATGAAATCACCACCCTCAACTAGTCGTTCACTTAAGAGAATGAACAATAATTACTGATGCTTTTATGTAACAGGAATATTAACCCTTGCCTTTCCACACTAGCTATTTGCTTGAGACACACAGTCCTGTATTTTTTTATTAAAACTTAGAATCTACTATTGGTTTGAATTTATACGTAATCGAAATAAATATTAACACTATTATTCACTTCAATAGTATACTATCAAAACATTTTTTCAAAATTTAATTACTTATGAAATAATCTATTTCTTAATAAACTAACCGGATAATGGTAGAAAAATTCCCCTGTGTAACAATTTTACAACCGAAGATAAATGGTAGGTAGTGCTGGAAGGACGCGCGTCTCGTCCTGTTTTGGAATCGTCAGTTGAATGTACCAGTACCCGAGTTAGTGCATACTCCGAAACTCGAACCCAACACCGTCTCCTTCAAATGCCATCGCGTTACCTACTCAGCTACTGAGTCCTGATAGCTTGTGCAATGGGGTGAATTTAAATTTTTTCATTTTTCTAGCGCACTTTAAGTTACTTAATTTATTATCAGTAGTTTGTTTCTTTATTGAAAAGTATCCGCATTGCCTTTATTAGGTTTCGGTTTAGGAGTAATGATTCATGATGGTTTCAATTTGTCTTCAGTATGGGAAGTCAGTGATTCAGTATGTCACAGTAAACTTTGGATACCAAAACATATAATAAGAATAGTTTGGGTACTTTGGCAAACATATTTTGTGTTCAAATATCATAGAGTAAGTTAGTGTTTTTGTAATTTCACTGTTATACACTACAACCAAAACACAGTTATATAAAAACTTGACCTAACTGAATAGTTTTGTGATTCAGCTTCATAGTTTGACAATTCCTCAAAAGAGTTCTAACATTTTCAGCAAGCAGCAGGTTTCTATTTACGAACAGAATTTTCAATAACGAACAAAATAGTATTACTCGATTCATAGAAAAATTATAACTCAACTACCCATAGTACAGTACAAAATAAAAGTATCCACTGATTATTTACAAATCTGAAATCATAAGCTTTTTTATGAATCAACTAGGCTATTGAAATATAGTCACTAGAAAAGTTTGTACTTTGTATACTTAAATAAGAATTAACTACAGTACAAAGAATAAGACAGATATTACATGGCTGTGTAGCGGCAAATAAATCCCCAAAATAAATAGCTCTGTAAGTCTTCGACATTGGATGTTGATCACATTCGTTTTAATGGACTCACCTGACTGAAGGCACTAGGTCATACATCCGCAGAGTTCCATAATAGGACAAAACGGCCTTCCAGTGCTTCTAGGTTTTCTATGGTGGTTTAGCTTCAATTGACTTATGATTTCTAACTTAAATTATAAAACTCCTATTCATATATATGATGATATAACAATATAGAACTAGCTAAAAATGATATTTTGTCTTCTTTTAATCATGGTGTTTTAATTTTTCTTTCTAGGTTATATTACACCGTCATCGAGTAACAGTACGTTTGTCTTGTATACATTTGGCTACAATAAATTTTTGTCATTGGCTTAAAGTTGTAGTTAGTGAAGTGGCGTTAAGTTTAAAAACACCAGTTTCTCATTCATCAACAGTTCATTCACATCATATTTCAAATCTTCTCATTGAAAATCATAATATGGTAAGTCTGTTAATCATCAACATTCGTATTAGACTATGTAATATTATCAAATTATCAGTATAGGATTGTGGAGATTGTTGAGTTTAGATTGATATCATGAATGGATCAATGTTAGACTACCATTGAAAACCTGGATGCACTGGATTGCCATTTCATCCTAGTATGGGACTCTTCAACAGTGCTCATTCATGATCCTTCACGCGGGATTCCAACCCAGGAATTTCGGTATCGCTCGCGAACACTTAAACTCTAGATCAGCCAACGGCGTTAATGTTTAACACTAGGACGAAACAGCCGTCTAGTGCTTCCAGGTTTTCAATGAGGGTCTAACACTGAACCGTTGATGATATAAATCATCAAATTAACTGAACAAATTATGTTATCACTGAATGTATTTCTTTTTCAATAATTGAAATACTGTTTAAAGAATCAATATTTGCATCATATTTGTAAGATGATTCAACTTGTCTTAAAAGACGAATATAATGCTGAAATTATTCTTATAAAATAACATGTTTTCTATGATTAGAACGTGTCTATACTACTTCATTTAAAAGTCCTTTCATTTAAAGTACTTTGTTCAATTTTTGCGTAGATGGTATTAATGAAGATCAATTCAGAATTGTTGAACTTATATACTTTTAAAGATTCATACACACTTACTTGCTAGTCATACTAATTGATTCAGTCTGAAGTATACTGAAATATTAATAAAAATCTCAATATTCATTATTGTTATGTCCTGAGCTATACGATTATCACGAAATACAATTGCCAATTTAGGTACGCTGACTTATACCACGAAACTAATGACGCATACACCAATACAACGAGCTTAGAGTTCCGATCGGTCTTTTGCCGCCTTGTTCTGCCTGTTAAGCCCAGAATGCCAGTCTCAGCCTCCACACTATGAATATCTCAAGAATAGTAGATCATATGATAATAGTCAATAGGTCAAATAAAAGCTTATAATGAAAGGAATATGGATATAATATAGTCACTTAATAGTCATGCACTAAGAGTATACGCATAATATTAGTCCTTAAGTAATTCCTAACAGTTACCATTCATTTATTCTCATCCGGATATAGGCATTATTTTAATAAACGGAATACACTCACTACGACATTAATTAAGAAAGATTAGTTCAGCTTTTAAAGAGTCGGAAATTCTCCTCTTTAAGGTGTGTGTGGCTCTGTCACCCTTGAACTCGATGTTCATGTATAAACCGCCATATATAATATAAATGTTATATCTTTTTCAACTATTGTACAATGAAATAAATCTAAGAAACAGATGTTCCCCAGCTTAAATGAGCTGAACTGCTACATTAATAGTTTCATTAGCTATACAATAGTACTTAAATCCCGTGTTCATTTATATAAGTATAATAACAGCAGGAAAATTATTCTGTATGTTAATAAGGTATCCAATTAATCTGCATCAATTTTGTATTGAATCAGTTAGCTAAGGTAATTATTAAATATACGCTTGTATACTTATGGTTATACTTACCTACCTTCTACTTTATAAAATCTTTTCACAAATACTTGCTTTATCGTGGATTGATCAATTTTAAAGATATTTACCATATGAAGTCAACATAGTGGTTGTACCTGTTTAACTTTCACCATAAGACTTAAAACCTTAGTATTCGTTCCCTTGTGAAGTGTTTACTGCTTGGAGTTCAATGCTGGGCATGGAGAAAGCTGTTTATTGATTTTTTTAAATTCTCAGTGGATTCCTAATTGAGTATGATACTTTAATACTGTATTTTTATTTCAGACTCATATTGCATTGAATCCTTACAATGGAAATTATACTCAAAATAGTAAGTATATTAATATTAATACCTTTGATTAAAATCAATAAAAAGAACTATCAAACAATATTAATGATCACATTTTTAATGATTGATTGGAGGTCAAATCTATGGTCTGTTGTTTGCTTACTAGGAGGATCTAACTGTTAGATCAATAAAAACTCGAAACATTATGGAGGTGTGATCAAGGCCCTCGGCTTTCAGCCATCAAGTCTTAATCGCAAATCCCGTGCCACCTATCTCGTTTTGAGCAACCGGATTGTATCATTAGCCCTTAAACTTGAATTGTAACCCTAAACTTTTGTGCGCGAATCTGTACTCGGTAACGGAGTTCATAAAAGAGTTGAACTGTGATCAAAGACTGTACAACTGAGTTGTGAATAACCATTTGTATTTCTGTATATTGGTCCTAGATGTCATTACTATTAGTATTTATCGGTAAAACTATAAATTGAATAATGAACCAACAATTTTAATATTTCTTTTGTAATCCGTTCGTTGTCCAATTCCAGTAAGATTGAACAACAATGTTGTCAATGAAATATAGATCCTGTTTTTGTCAGTATACTTTCTGCCAACACATCACATTCATATAATGTAAAATAATAAAATTCAAATACGAATTGTATTTAAGATATGTACATTTCAAGTAAAAAAAATTCAGTCATCTTATAAAGGATTGGAGTTCAGTAGTATAACTCAGAGAATAACAAACTGACAGATAGGGAATAGATATATACGTACTAAAAATTGTACATTTTGTAAAACATGACCAAGGTTACGTGTAAAATAGAATGTTGTTTGTTCAATAGTTATAACAAATCACATAGATTAGAGTATTAATGGCTACATTGTGTTTTATATTTACTGTCACATTGTGGGGAGAAATAACAAACCATTTGACATGGGTTACTTTTTTTGTGATGACACTGTTACTGAATTCAACAATCTTGAGGAACATGTAGTGTTAAATGTCTTATTCTTCAGTAATCGATACGTTTTCTTATGAAGAAGAGATCAATTATGTACAAAATAGTCTGATTTTCTATGTTTCTCACTTTTCAATGATTTTAAAAAACAAGCTAAATGACGTTTTATATCTTTTGTTTCTTTTTTGCAATATATTATACATTTAGGTCACTATACTAAAGGTGATACATTGACCGGAACAATAAATCAACATAACAATAATAATATGTCTAAACTATGCCTTGGTTATTTAGGTGTAACACTTGATCCATTTTTATTTCCATTAGCTATTGAATATAGTTTAATAACTGGATCATTCTTTTATAAAATGTTACAACGTTTAGATCAAACATTTCCAAAATCATTTAATCATACATCAAATGGTAGTGATTGTCTTGTATTGAATTCATCAAGTTTATATAGTCCATCACCAGCATCAATTTCTAATAGTATAAATAAAAGTGAATTTGATAAATTCTTTGATGATGATATCTCAGAACAACAACAACAACAACAATATCATCCAGAATGTACAAAACACATGTCATATAGACCAGTAATGGGATGTAAGGTATTTCTTCCACTATTGAAAAGGAATAAATTACCAATATTAAATGAAGATTACACAGCATCTATAGGTAAGTAACATTTGTTTTACTCCAAAAGGCTTTTACAGCATCTATAAACAAATAGTAGTAATCTATGTGTTTAATGGACTGACAACAAAGCTCCTAGCATGTGCTTAGCCGCCCTTATCAAACGCTTGAATTTCAATTTACTTGTATTATTAGCCTAAGACCTGATGGTTTTGGGTCTCATAATGATCTGTTAAAACAAACAAGAAAACAGACAACTTGTTGAAATATCTAGATATCAGGAACAACTGGCCCAGATATTCGAGCAACCTGCCTTGGAATAGGCATTTGACTGAAATGAATTTTCACAACATCTAACTTAATATCTAATTATACATGAAAATATTGTAGATTTGGAATTTTGTTGTAGCATAACTAAAAACGTGAGTAAAAATTAAAAAGAAGCTGTAAAATTTGAAATTTTACTAATTAAAATATTTCAATAGTTGAAATCATGAGTCAATTGAAGCTAGATCACCATGGAAAACCTGGAAGCACCAGACAGCCGTTTCATCCTAATATGGTACTCCTCAACAGTGCGCATCCACGATCCCACCCTCCACGGGATTTGAACCAAGGACCTATCAGAGTTGCGCGCGAGTGCTTAACCATTAGATCACTGAGTCGGTAGGCGTCAAACGGTGCTAATGTCTAACTTCAACTAATCCACGAAATTGCGACACCGTACACCATCGAGTTACCATCTTACAACAGACCCGGTTGAACTCCACTGGTCACGGCTTCTCACTAGAACTCCAGGATATGCCACTTGAAGTCAGTTACTAATGAGCAAATGATTAATATTAGAAGGGATTTTGTGGAGATTTGAGTAATTTCGATAGTTAAAATAATGAGTCAATTGAAACTAGACCACCATGGAAACCAGAGGGAAAACGCGGGGGGAGGGATCGTGGATGCACTCTGCCGAAGAGTCTCATACTAAGATGAAACATCCGTCCATTGCTTGCAGGTTCAATTCAACAGAAAACTGTTTGATTAAATTTATCCATGAGATTCGAAATTTTACTTTGTTGATTCTTAAAGCTAAACTGGTGAGACTATAATTTATGAAAGACCATTGAGGTACACTAAAAAGTATTTGAGAATGTCCACGTAGCTGCTATGGCCAAATCAGGGTTGTTAGCCAGTGTGAGGAATCGAGACTAATATTTACAGTTGATAGTTAAGGTTGGGAGTTAGATTTTAGATTTTCATCATGAACTGACATCAGCTATGATGCCAAAACTCTTTTTAGCCAAATAGATGAATTAATTTTGCGCCAAAATTCGAAACCTGTTATCGTAAATCTGATTTGTTTGTCCATAAATTATAGTCTAACCGCTAAATTAATCAGGTTATTTCAAAACACTAACTGTGTGAAGGGATCTGAAAATATGGAATTCAAATATTATTATTATTACCATTGTGGATACTCCTAATACCAATGGATTAATGAATGCAATCCATATTGGATATCCCAATCGCAGACATGAATAATTACTAACATCTGATAAACATTACATAACTAATGCAAGTCAATAAAGTCTAATAATTGAATTAATGAATAATGAGTATTTAGTCTCAATGTGATCAGATACTAACACAGTAAGGAAGGAGATGACATACTTATCTAGCTGTGACACCAAGTTAGGAATACATCAACTTTCTGAATTTTAATTGTTAACTCCGTATCAAATAACATTACTATAAATAACAAGAGTGAGTTTTACATGAGAAATATCTACCTTAACTTGTATTTCATATGTGCAGATGTTAGTGCAAAAGCTTAATGATCAAGGCGTTTGAGTTTTAAATACCAGATCCCAGATTTAAGTCCAATCTCTCTTAATTTGATTTCGACAACAGGATCGATATCATTAACCCTCATACATGAAGTGTGGCTCAAAGCCAAGTGTAAGAATCTGAGTTTTATCAATGAACTAAAATACAAGTACTGTATAACAGCTTATTTCAGGTAGTTTCGATTTGATTTGGTTTGAAGTAATAAGTAAGTAGCTTTAATAATGGATCTCATGTCAGTCAACATTAATCAGAAATCATTATTGCAATACACTTAACTTTTTTAGCATATTTCAATCATCAAAATCGTAGTTCACCGACAATTCAGTCTAGTCAGTATTTATCTTAAAAAAGGGAACTTCTTTTTTCATCTTGATTTTAAAAAATCATAAAAACCGTCTTTATATGTTATGTTCAACAGATTTATTCAAAAAACAAAATAGATAGTTTAATTCACTGCTTAAAATACTTTCAGACTGTATGCAGAATAATAAATTTACATATATTGGCCGTATCATAATTGAGACAGATATCACTGATCACAATATTAAGAAATGTGAATCAAATTTGAGTTCAACCGGATTTGTTGTAAGATAGAAACTCACTTAAGACAATAATGGATGGTGGCGCAATTTCGTGGATTAATTGAAGTTAGACATTATCAACGTTTGATGCCGACCGGCTCAGTGGTCTAGAGGTTAAGCAGTCACGCACGAGACTGATAGGTCTTGGGTTCGAATATCACGAGGGGGTGGGATCGTGGATGCTCACTGCTGAAGAGTCTCATACTAGGATGAAACGGCCGCCTAGTGCTTCCAGATTTTCCATGGTGGTCTAGCTTCAAATGACTCATGATTTCAATTATTGACATTACTAAAATCTCTACAAAACCCCTCCCAAATTTGAACCACTGAGTTATAAGTGACTGCAATTTATCGCAGTCACTACAAGACCTGAAAATTTTCGGTTCGATCATGTTTACACATATTGCTAAGACGTCTCAAACTCAACAACAACAACAAAAGAAGCCCTATCATTCATTAAAATCTGTTCTCTTTTAGATAACGTAAGTCTATTACTTAGCTTTATAATATTATATCATAGAACGTTTCTACTTTAATTAATGTATATCTCATTTATTTCTTTTGTTTTAATCAACTTTTATTTATATTTACTTCACAATTGAACTACTTATAAATACTACAATCCAATATCTTTTAATCAGTTGAAAACAATAAAGAAATATCTGATAATGATAATAATGATAATGAATATGAAAAATCATTCAAATTTAATACAGAATATCAATGTCATCGTTCACATAGTGGTTTATTTTTAGGTATAATGTTATTAATTGGTAGTATTATATGTATGGTATTATTTATAATACATGGACGTAATGGTTATAAACAATATACTATATATATCTATCAAAAATCTAAATTAACATTATCAATAATAAGTTTATTAGCATGTATTCTAGCAATTAAACAAACAAATCAATTAAAATTTCATCGTTTAAAACATGGTGAAAATTTTGAATATAATTTATTAACTATTGGTTTAATTGGTTGTATCATTTATCATATGTTTTTATTTATACCAGCTATAGAAACAATCATACATATTATGTTATTTCATTCAAATAATATAAAAGAATATTATATTTTATATATAACAAATGATCATATAAAATATACAGCTATATTATATTGTATTAAATGTATTTTAGAAATATGTCAAGCATTAATACAATTTTTTTTTATTGTTGAAACATCAAGACGTAAAGTATGTTGTATTAATCAATCAAGAATAAAACCAGGTCGTTCTATTATTGTATTTTTATTAATATGTAATTTAGCATTATGGTTAATTAATACATTTGAAGTAAGAAGTGCTGAAATACAATTACCGTTATATAGACATTATTTTGGTATACGTACATGGTCTATTATTACATATTGTTTTATACCATTAATTATATTTTTTCGTTTTCATTCAACTGTATGCTTAGCTGAATTATGGACAAAATTATATAAATTAAAATAAATTGATTATATTCCCTCGCTCTCTCTCTTTCTCTTTCTTTCTCTTGTTTTATCTCTATTTGTCCATCTCTCTTTTACACACACACACACTTACACACACAGAGTTCAGTTTGCTTGATTCAATCAAAAAAAAATGTAATTGTTCGTGTTCACATGTATCTAGAAATGTAATTCGGATACATTTTATGAATTATATAGATATATAAATGAAAATAAAACATCGTTATTCATTGTTCAATTAATTGTTTATTAATAACAGTGATAAGTGGGATATGAAACCGACCACAAGAAAATTTATTTATAACGAAAACTCGAATTTCTTTCCAAATTTAAACATCCTCTTCATGCGTTATTTGTTATGTGTGAATAACTGATAAGGGTGAATGTGTATATATAATGACATAAGAACCTTAGATTAGTTCGTCTGTCCAAATTTAGAATAAGTCACATTGTTACAAGTAAAACAGTGTGAAAGTATTGTTAGAATCTGGCCTGTCTCCATGTAGGTGGGACATAAAACCGACCACAATAAATCTTATTTATAACGAAAACTCGAATTCTCTTCCAAATTTAGACATCATCTTCATGTGTTATTTTGTCACACATTGTTGATTTTAATACTATTCGTAAAAGTACTTACGTGTATTTTTATTTATTTATTTATTATTAAAAGCTTTATTCAACATTATATTTTTGGTACAACATAGAATTCTCAGCATAAAGTATTTCAACAAGTTTCCTTTTCTTATACCTTGATCTATTGTGACGATAAATTTTGAATGATGACCAGTTAGATGTTAGGAGTTCGGTAATCCACATTTGATTAATGTTCGTTCGTTTCAATGCATATTGCCAGCCACCATGATGTCGATGATTGTACCTTTTTGTATCACGTATAGCGAAAGGTTGTAAACTTTTCATAAACGCGCCTGAATAGATTGTGTGCACAATAGACATAATGATGAACTAAAACAAGCAACTAAAACAGATAACTTGATGGAATATCTAGATCAGAGGAACAGGTAGCCCAGATATTCAAGCAGGGCTGATTAACTTACCGACCACAAATCTTCAGTCAACTTTCAATGGGGTCCGTCTAAACAACTAAAGTGTTTGGTTCTTCTATGTTAGCTTTTCAAAGTTTCGCTTATTAGTCTAGATATACAGTTCATTGGTTCAAATTTCGTTTATGTTTCAGTTTGAATAACTAGTCTGTCGACTCAGTAACGGTTTTTCTTCCGTGCTCATTTGTGATATATTAGGATCACTTGCTATCAGGTATATTCTAAGATTGTCCCAGTAATGAACAATGTTCAGGAACGTTGCTTAAATGTTACATATCCTGACCTCTCATTACTTCAAATCATGAAATCATACATCATTGTTCTTTGTTCAGTTGATTGTTTATTGATAACAATGATCCTCAACTATCCACATGTTTTAATAGTATATGTTGTTAAGGGATAATGTTGCTGTGATGAAATGAACTCATTACCTATAGTTTCTATAAACAAAGCTACTTAAATATTACTTGAAAAACCAAATTTTAAATATTTTCAGAGGCCAACAATGAAAATCAAATATTATATCAGTGAAATACTGTTCAAATATAAAATGATATACCGCTAATGATTTCGCTGGCATTCCTTATATTCACATAAATTGTCCAAAAACATAAAACAAATGTATGGACAATCGGGATAAAATTACATGGGAGCTTTGTATTTGTAAACGCAATAACGCCAAGGAGAGAAAGATCTTAGCAAACAAATTTGATCTTTATTAAAATGAATTTAAAAAGCAGTAAATTAAACCAAAACTAAACGAGATCTGAAGTTTATTAATTATCATACCAATAAACTCGTTCACTTATTAATGGATATTGTAACTGCATGCATTCGTTAATATAACAATGATAATGAAACATGTTCGAACAATAATATGATTATACTGATGTTAAAGAAGTATATTCTGCTAAAATATCTAGGCATCAACTAACGAACTGGCAATTAAATTTTGGAGTGAGCAATACTGTGATGGTCAGGAGTATTTGAATTATTATATGAACTGAGAATCCCCGGAATAGCGCAATTTAAAGCAAACAGAATTAGATTAGCACAACCGAACTTATTATATTTAGATTCCGAAATCAGCCAAACACCAAGTACAAAGGAATCATTAGTTCACACAAGCACCATAAATAAATAGACTAAAAAAGAGCCAAAAGATTTAACTAAATATGACCGCTTCTGGGACTAAACAATAAACGTTCTTATTAATGAAAACTAAAAATCATTCAACATAACCAGAAAAAGATTTAGGGTCAATGTGGGATCATCGTGATAAGATATTTTATTCACAGAAAGAATGGGTAACCCTAGTATATCGATAGGGTGATAAATACATGAACAGAAGTTGAATATACTTGCAGTCTCTTTTTAAGTAAAAAAAACCCTTGTGTTTTTATTGCTTTTAATTCTGCTGAGAATGATACAGGTATTCAGTGTTTGACAACGTTTCTACCAGTAACACCTTCTAATATACTTTGTTCCCACCGAGAGAAATCAAAAGACAGAGTCGAGGAGATCGGAAGAGTGTATTTGGCGATAACCAATATATCGGAAAATCTCTTATCTAATCTGGCTCGCGATTGCGGTAGATGTTGAGCACAGCGTCACCACACGTGATCTGGTGCGGATGCATGACCGAGCGCCTTCAGCTAAATGAGTCCACTAAAACATATGGTTAGCATCCAATGTCGAAAACTTACAGAGCTACTTAGTTTGTGGATTTATTTACCGCTACAGATCACTCCCCCCTAATGGGGCAGTGATGACCCTAAGACGCGGCCAGCCAGAAGTTTAAACCCAACGAGTTTGTCGTTGGTAAACACTCTTCTGATAGCTTACTAAATTTAGCAGCGTTTGGTCGTCTTTCCTTACTATATGGGACCGAGGTACAACATGGTAAAAAAAGAAAAGGTACAATGAAAATGTCGGCTCCTCGTAAACTGCATCGTTCTTTTCCAGCCGTCCTGGAAAAGAAAAAAGAAAATGTAAGTGCATGTCGAAATACACTCGCATGTACGTAAAAACACAATGTCGGCGAAAAAAAAGGAAAAAAACCTCAAGCACACGTAATAGCGTTAAAAAATTGATTTGTTTTGTTTTGTTTTTTTTGTTAATAAAAATATGAATATATGAGCATATTAAAAGTGTATTTTTAAAAAAAAATTATTATATATCGTAAAAAGGAAGATCGAGATAATATAAAATGTCGAGTAGTGCCTTACGTGCAATAGTCGTTTAAATGTTCTGAAAATCTTACTCTTCTTCCAGAACGTGTCGTTTTAAGTTTATTTTCAGACACATTCGGAGTGTTGGTTGTTGGTTCAGAAATTCTGAGTGTAGGAGTCGTGTTGTGCTATTGTACGTAAGGAAAATCGACGTGAATATGATTTCCTTCCAAATACGCTGCTTTTAAGCCATCGATGCTGATGCTATCGTTTGTTCCGTTCTTATCGACCATATAGTACTTAGATTCGCGTTGAAGAACTTTGAAAGGTCCTTCGTATGCTGATTCGAATGGTCGTCGATGTGCGTCTCGACGAACAAAAACGTGTGTATTATATTTTAAGTCAGGTTGAACGAAAACATCAGTTGATTGAGGTCGAGTGGAAGCAGGTTTAACTGAACGCATTGCGTTTGAAAGCCTGTTTGTGTAGGAGGTTAGATCCATGTTCATTGAAGAGGATAAAGGATCCACGAATTCTCCTGGAAGTCGGAGTTGAGCCGCAGTGTATACAATGTCAGCTTTCACTGCATTGCGGATACCTAGTAGGACGAGTGGAAGAGCGTCGGTCCACTGTGAAACGTTTGCAGCTGATAGTGAAGCTTTTAGTTGTCGGTGAAAACGTTCTACCAACCCGTTTGCTTGCGGGTGGTAGGCGTTCGTTCGGAAGCGAGTGCTTCTTAATAGTGTGGTCAGACGACGGAAAAGTTCAGACTCAAACTGACGTCCGCGGTCTGTAGTGATGGTTGAAGGGCAACCGAAGTTTGATACCCATCTTTCGACGAAGGTGCGGGCCACTGTTTCAGCAGTGATGTCCTTGATAGGTACTGCTACTGGCCATCGAGTGAAACGATCTACACAGGTTAAGAGGTAAGATTATCCATTTGAATCTGGTAAAGGTCCTACCAAATCCAGATCAACATGGTCGAAACGAGCATCGGGAGTTTTAAATGAACCTAAGGGATATTTATTGTGTCTGATGACATTAGATTTTTGGCAGCTTACATAGGAGCGTGCCCACTCCCTCACGTCTTTATTCGAAACCTTACAGAGCTATTTAGTTTGTGGATTTATTTACCGCTACACTGCTTTTCCTTGTTCACAGAGATCTTATTTACCCTCACCTGGAGTATTTTTAGATACTTTACTGACTCATCTCTCTTTGATTTTACTTGTTTGGATTGAATGGTTTAAATCATTCCGTCCTCGAGTTACGAGTACCGTTTGTTAGAAACATTTATTATTCCCAACAATTGATTAAAGGTTCTAGTATCGATACGCTTATGAACTCTTCTGTGAATGAACTTCATGTGATTGTTAAATGAACAGGTTCCTGTGATATTGTTCGTTCACCAGTTCTGGTTTGGCACTCATGGATAGCTAAATACACTGTATTTCGTACTCTATAAGGACAGCAGTGTTCCAACCGCGGACTTGCCATTGTCCGCTTTCCTTCTTCTTGAGACGTAATCATGCACACTCAGAAAGCTAGCTCTCTTGTTGCAATACAGTTCGTTACAACTATACATAATAGTATTACTATAAACTCGAACAAACGACTAAATCTGAAACAAACACATAATGATTCGCTTAAAATGCAAGCACACCTCCACAACAATTAACTGACCATGATTCAGTTTAGCACACACACATTTTCTGTCACTGACGAACGCACTCAATATTCATTTGGACTACATAAAACCTAATTCCGCTAATCTCTTACTCCTCTCCACTTCATAATCGGTCGAATGCAATTTCTCTTTCATATAGCTCGATTTCATTGACCTGTGCCTTCTCGTATTTCAGCCATTTGCGTGGACAATTTCGAATCTAGTCCTGACTAGTGCAGACATAAATCAGAGTCTGCTTTCAAATGAATAAATTTAGTCAGTCCTCATATGGGTAGAGCATATTCTGCGCTTTTCGGGTTTATACTTCACCCCAACAATAATACGGAAGTGAACTTTTGAACGACAAAATTAAGTCTCCTTTGTCACTACATACTTTTGGTTATAGAATATAATAACGATTCCCTTAATTTATGAACTGGCTAGCAATATTTTGAAAGTGCACATCTCACACTTGTAAGGTATATGGATAACTAGCCTCAAATATTGTACCTCGTTATCACCAGTGCCAACATGAAACATCATCACACATTATTTTGGGTGAAGAAATATAACTCTCATAGAAAAGTACTTAATCCTGATGACTAACATGATCTTGAATCGAACTCAGGTGCCTGAAACATAAATTATCCCAGAACACTAGTTCTGTCTCGAATATCCAATTCCGCTTGATGAGAAATGAATCTGCAAGCAGAATATTTAGGTTCAATGGAAGAGCGTTACTGCTAACTTCACACTATTCTAAGGAGAAAATCATTACCAAGAAGACATTGACGTTTCCGAAGAACAATAAACGAATTGTTGTTTATCGAAAATATTTGTAGACCTATAGTGGTAAATAAATCCTCAAAATCAATAGCTTTGTAAGCCTTCGTCATCTGATGCTGACCGCATTAGTTTGTTTGGACTAATCTAGCCGATTGTGCTCGGTTACTCTTAGACCAAACGTCCCTTCCACATACCGATATATATCTTCGAACTTCTTCATTCTTGACTTATGATTTGACTGAGGTGATGTACGTTGATTATGAAAGCATTACTATTTAAGGCGCTACCAGATTCTGAATACCAGTGACATTTTTAGAACTCTATCACATATATCCTTATTGTACAATCATTAAATAACTAGGCTAAATACATTTGTATTCCTTTTACTATAAGCTTTCATTTGTTTTATTACCCACTAATATAACACTACTCCTAATTGCAGTCTCTTATGCACTCAGAGACTTTTGACTTGGTATTTTTTAGTTGTTATTTTTCGTTACATCGTATAATTCGGCCCGTTCTGTTTGTGTATAAGACATGTGTTTAAAAATTCCTATTCACTCAGTAGAGGCGGATATTGTGTCATGGACTCAACGTTCAGGGCTGGGCGAGAAGCTAATGTACTGTCAATTGACAATGATCCGCAGTCCATTAAAGGCTGTCACTACCGGTTGACGAGTCGTTGGTTTATAACAGAGATAACATCATAGAATTCTATACTTTTTACTGGCGATATTGTCACATGTTAATTTACATGGACAAAAGTCATTACAAACGCTTTCTATGGAAGTATAACCTTCAAGTACATAAAGAAAGCTTTTAAAATCTGTCCTATGATTAGCCACTCGTCTCTTTCTCTGCAGGTTTGCAACACAGAGTAAGGATAGAGCTTATGGGGCCGTTACAAAGGCCAATAGTGACCGGCATTTGAAATAAACAGTACAACCTTTGTGGTCACTTTTCGGCTCTCAAGCTACGTCAAGAGACAATGAACCCACATTACGCATCCATTTTACTGAAGCCATACAACGTTTAAGTGAATTACGTTTGGTTTTTTCAGACACTTGCTCGTTAATTAACCCATCAGTTTCTACTTAAGACAGCATCCATAATGATTACTCACACTCACGAACGTGTATGACGCATAACAAAGTGTATATTCGAGCTTTTGCAGACTGTACAATAATACTTAGCTCTTAGCACAAATTACCCATTACTTTGAACCACTTCTGCCGCAGATGATAGAACCCAAGATACATAAGAATGCATAAAAATTGGTGATGCTTTAGATGCCAATAAGGAAAAATGACTGACACGGCATAGCTCGGCTTGGTCACCACAAACATAATTTTTGTATTTATATAAAACATATTCTGGGGAAAAGATTGTGCCCATTCTTCAAATGATCTCAAAAAGTAGTATGTCTACTCAGACAACAGGCGAATTCGGAATAGATGGTAATAGAACTTCGGTGTATGATCATATGGATTGGACCGCTACATCATAACAAATGTACAGTATTAGAATAAGTGTATCTATATAGACATTTTTAAAATCAAAAATTATCCTGACAACGAATGAAATTTCCGGTTTCAAATACCCCTACACAAAATACTAAAAGTCTTGAGCCAAAGTGTTTTTGCATTTTATTGAAAGAATTTAACCGAAGGTTTAAACAAACACCAATATGCTTCGTGGTCGAGTCACCTAAACAATATTAGGCAGTAACTTCGACCCAATTTTATCGACAGTACGGCTAACTTCACCACATCAGTATGTCAGTTCAATATAGGTAATAAATAACATTAAGGAAGCTCAACGAAAAGTCAGTCGACTGCAGGGTTTTCTAAGACACCATCCAAACGATGATTCGGTTATGCGAAAATCTTAAAGCATCTAGTTGACTGACTAGTCCCATCGACCTCGAACACAGTAAATCTTCTTGTTAAATATATATTATAAACATCACAGTGACATAAAATTATGTACGAAATTTTCTTCGACAACTTCCAACGCTAATTTTCTCAAATATATCTTATTATTTTCTCGACCAGTTTTATTCAGGTTGGACGTTGACTACTTGCTTTTAAATAGTGAAAATAGCCAGGCGGCTTCTTTGGTTGCATAACACAAGCGGTATTTCAAACAAACAAGATGGCCTGTACAAAAACTAAGCGTAGAGCTCGCACTCGCACTCAGCGGTTCACTTCGAATGTCTTTTCCATGTTTAATGAAGCTCAAATAAGCGAATTCAAGGTAGGCTTATAACTTTCTTAAAAGTAATATTCAATATGTCATATTGTATTATCCAGACCTTAGAAAATTATTCATTTTGTTGGTTACAATCAGGTACAGGCTTATATCGTAATCCTCTATTATGTCAACAGGTCACTGTTACAATCATTTGACTGGAACTAAGTTCGATAATTTTGTTTGCGACAGGTCTACTTTTGAAAACACATACGGACATGCGGCTTTCATCACTTTCACATGTAAAAGCCCGCGACTGAAAACTATGTTGTTCATTCATGAATCTCCGCAATAATCTTTTTCCCTCTCCCTGCCATCAGGAATATAGATATGTCATCGAATGTTCATAAATAGTACGTTCCCGAATTCAGGGTCTTTATAAGTTGTTTCTGTAAATCCCTACCAGTCTGCTGAGTTTTGAACAAATACATTGTTTTATAGTCCATATGATGTGAGACGTAAATTGTAGACGAAATTGTTCCAAAGTCTGCGAATTTGACCACGGCAGTTTTTGTCTTACCTTTAGCTGAACTGTCCAAATACGTAGTAGTGTTTATTGCAGACTATTACAGCTCTATATTTTGATCATTTGGATTTATTATTAGGTAAGATAACTCTTTATTTAAGCTGAAGAGATATTTTTGAAAAGTTTACTGGGAGTTTGTGCTTTGATTTGAGTTTCTCTAACAGAGACTTAGCAGGTAACGATTCAACGCAAATGTACCTCGGCGTTAGCTTCCATATTTCGTGTAAGTAGAGAGGAAGTTATTTAGCTGATTGTAGGAAGATCTAACCAAAGAAAGTGTAGTCCTACAGAAACAGAGAAAAATCTGTTGAAGAAAAGACTATATTGGGACATAATTTAAAGCAAGAATAATATCGTATGTATCATCACTACTACGACTTTTCAACCTTATCCTTAAGAGTTCTTAACCGTAAATTACTGCTACCAAAAACCACATCTATACAGGCCAGCCCAACTGTCGATAACTTCATGGACTGATGTTAGATTAAAGAGGACTACGACAGCTGAACCATAATACTCCAAACCAATACCAAAGGTTCCACATGGTTATCGTTTACAAAAGTTTAAAGATATTTCTGTCGGTATATAACAACAAAAGTTCTTTAGAAGCTTTTGAACTACTGTTTGTATTACTTAGTGTACTATTGCTCATCGTTTCAATCTTTTAAACAGGAAGCGTTCTTAATGATTGACTCAACTAAAGATGGTGTCATTGATAAGCACGACTTAGAAGATATTTTCATCTCTTTGGGAAAATCGCCAAACGACGAGTACTTAAACGATATGCTTTCACAAGCACCCGGTCAAATAAATTTCACAATGTTTTTAACATTATTTGGTGAGAAAATGATGGGGTGTGATCCGGAAGAAACGATTTTAAATGCTTTTGCTTGTTTTGATCCTGAGGGGACAGGTATGTGTAATGAACTTATATGTATCCCTTTGTTTCATGTTTTTTGTCATTACATAAGAAAACTATCACTTCATTTCAGTGGGATAAAATAATAATAAATAAAATAATAAATCTTCTCTATACAGTCCTCTTTAATGCATAGTGCAAAAAGTTGAAATGGTTCAAACGCTCAGTCAGTCAGTCAGTAACAACGTAGAACTTCGTACGTACGTACATCAGTTCGAGTTGCCACACCACCTTAACACAGAGATGCAGTTGTCGATTCAAATCCCGTAGTGGTAGAGGTAGCAAGAGTGTAAGCAGTGATCGGGAAGATTAGGGTTTGGAGATGTTATTTAAGGAGTATAATTAAGTGAAATAAATTTGGAAAGAGGAAAAAAGGGACATGAAGAATTCAGAAGACTAGAATTTGGGAGAACACAAAGAGTGGATGCACCTGCGCCATTGCAAACGATTTTGAGCCATGTCATTCAGGGTCTCTAACCATCGGTTGCTATCATCTCGCGGTCCCCAACCAGGTAGTCTATACCTATCAACATGACTCAGACCACTTGTCAGTGACTTCATGGACTTGTGCCATGTTTTGGTCTGGCCGCCCCTAGCTTTCTTCCAATCTACTCCTATACCACTGAACATCGCACGTCGAGGCAGTCGGTCGTTGGGCATACGTAACACGTGTCTCAGCCATCTCAACTGATGAAGTTTCACTACTTCATCAATTGATTTGCCATCCTTACCTAGTATCCGTTTCCTAACAACTGCATTACTTACTCGATGGTCCCAGGATATACGAGCAATATTTCGAAGACACCTATGATCAAATACTAGTGAACTACTAATATCCTCTACTCTTACCAGCCATGTTTCACTGCCGTAAAGTAGGACGGAACGAACTGCTGCGCAGTAAACCTGTTATTTGGTTGATAGACGGATATCTCGCCTACGCCATAAATGACGCAAGTTGGCAAAAGCTAGTCGAGCCTTCTGTATCCGTGCTGAGATTTCGTCACATACCAGACCACAAGGGCTGATGAGACTTCCAAGATAAGTGAAGCGGTCGACACACTCAACTACTTCACTCCCTATCACTAGTTCGGGTGTCGATGTGACCCAATCCTGAAGCAACATTTTGCATTTCGAGGGAGAGAAGCTCACAAGCGTATATGTTCTGTTCACAATCATATATAGGATGTTTTGTGTCGGTTTGAATTTACCATGGTTAGATGATAATGCTGTTAGTGAAATATATACATCTTACCTGTCTTCGTTTATATTCTGTCTAATTAACACGTTTAAAATGGCGGTATATCAGTCAGTCGGTAACAACGTAGAACTTCGCACTTACGTACATCAGTTCGAGTTGCCATACCACATTAGCACAGAGATGCAGTTGTCGATCCAAATCCCTTAGTGGTAGAGGTAGTAAGAGTATAAGCAATCTGAAAGGTTAGGGTTTGGAGATGTTATTTAAAGAGTATAATCCAGTGAAATAAATTGGGAAAAAAAAAGAGACAAGGAGGAATCGGGAGATTAGAGTTTGGGAGAACACAAAGAGTGTATACACCTGCGTCATTGCAAACGATTCTGAGCCATGTCATTCAGGGTCTCGGTTGCTATCATCTCGCGGTCCCAAACCAGGTAGTCTACATCTACCGACATGACTCAGACCACTTGTCAGTGACTTCATGGACTTGTGCAATGTTTTGGTCTGGCGGTATATCAAAAGTCTTAATACTTTTATTTTGGATCGGTATATTTCGTTTAAACGTTTTGCATGTTAGCCGTAAGAGATAGTGCATAGAAAAGCTTTCCACTTTACTCAACTTTAGAAAATGTCATTGAATATCTGTAGAGACATATAAATACAAGTTGAAAACAGATAACGAATAGAGCCAGCAGACACATAAAAACGCCAAAGGTTATATGTGAATAACTAATAAGGGTGAATGTGTATATAATGACATAAGAACCTTAGATTAGTTCGTCTGTCCAAATTTAGAATAAGTCACATTGTTACAAGTAAAACAGTGTGAAAGTATTGTTGGAATCTGGCCTGTCTCCATGTAGGTGGGACATAAAACCGACCACAATAAATCTCATTTATAACGAAAACTCAAGTTCTCTTCCAAATTTAGACATCATCTTCATGTGTTATTTTGTCACACATTGTTGATTTTAACACTATTCGTAAAAGTACTTACGTGTAACTGATTAACTTACCTATCACAAATCTTCAGTCAACTTTCAATGGGATCCGTCTAAACAACTAAAGTGTTTGGTTCTTCTATGTTAGCTTTTCAAAGTTTCGGTTATTAGTCTAGATATACAGTTCATTGGTTCAAATTTCGTTTATGTTTTATTTTGAATAACTAGTCTGTTGACTCAGTAACGGTTTTTCTTCCGTGCTCGTTTGTGATATATTAGGATCACTTGCTATCAGGTATATTCTAAGATTGTCCCAGTAATGAACAATGTTCAGGAACGTTGCTTAAATGTTACATATCCTGACCTCTGATAATACAATTGAATCCCATTATCTGATCCATAGAACTATATGTTTGTTACTTAAGCTTTTCACATGCGGATATCCTATTTTTATCAATTCCTTGTAATTTATGCAAAAGATATTCATTATCCTTTTTAATGAAAGCAAATTAATAGCAGGAAACTGAAAATAAATTAGTCTACGCGTGTTAATTATTTGATTTTTTTTTACCTCACACATGCTTTACAAAATAAAACTACAAACCATTCATGCAGAGTAAAGGTATGATTAAGAATTATTCAGTGATTTTAATGAAATAAAAAAAATTATCAGTCAGATTGCAAAGGACGTGTGGCTCATACTCAAGTACCGGTAAATTAGTTGATTTTGACATCATATGCCACGAGCCAACTAACAGTAACTTGGGCAAACTCAAGTTCCATGCTTGTCGAAAATAATAGTAATGCTTTTTTCGACTATCATTACCACTTAAATTAAATGCTAGTTATGTGTTTATTCTATTTATTTATAGGTGTAATAAGTGAGAAACGTTTACGTGAATTAATGACTACAATGGGGGATAGATGGTCTAATGAGAAAGTTGATGAATTATTCCATGGTGCACCGATTCAAGATGGGAATTTCGATTATAAAGAATTTACACGAATGATTATGCATGGTCAAGAAGAAGAAGAAGGTCAAACAAACCAAACATAATTTTATTATCAACTGGTCTTTTATATAGCTGACAGCAAATTGAATTTTATACTCATCATACTTTTTAACTTTTCAAAATATCTACACACGTATACATTCATTTTTGCTAATCTGTTGTATTTCCTTTTTTTTACATTCCATTTCTACTCTACTCATTGCTTGCTACTATTTGTGCCTTAACGCAAAACACCAAGAAATATATCTTTGAATGCATAAAAGCTTTTCTTTTAAATGAATTACATAACCTTAGGTTATTTTACAGATTACCTATTAATGTGAACGCAAGTACTTTTGTCGCCTTCAATAAGTCAAAGTTTTTATGTTATCCTTCAATTTCGAAATTTAGTTTACGTGTCATATTTCATGATAGATACGAAAAGCATTGATAGTCAATAAATTCCTCATTCATCAAGTCAAATCATTTTCGATATCTTAGCTCAGAATTGAGCTTTGTGATTAGGCTGTTGAAAGTTTAACTCGTTCCTGGAGAGGAATATCAGTTAGTTAATACGATTGCACCGTCTTGCGCACTAGTTTTCTCAACATTTAATGTTGACTGGAGCGAGATACTAGTAAAAGGGTTGATATGTATTTTGGATGTGATTCAAATTAGTAGGATTTCAAATTACTGATCTGCTTACCTACAGGTCTGATGCCGATGTTCATGAGATGTCAGAGATACTGTGGAGCTTCTCATACACGAACTAAGAAAGTCGATGTCCGGTCTACAGAATAATTCATCAATTTCGAATATGTAGGATATTGAGAAAATAGCTAGACGTAAATACGATACTATGTTCTTAAAATTCGACAATTTCATGTTGCATCGAATAATATGTGGTTCACTTCAGAAAGGCATTTCTTGAAACAGTTTATAGTGGTGAGTCATGAGCGATGTAAAACCTTGCTTATATATGCATCGACTCAAAATACTACATTATAGCACCAAATCGAAATAAAATTATTTTTGTCAATCTGAGATTAGTAGTAGAAAAGATTAGGCATGAATATAGAAGGGATGAGTTTGATGAATAGGAAGTATACGTATATTTAGACAAAGATAGAATTCATCAACGCAATTGCTGCAGATTCTAAGCCATTTCACCCAATGTATTTAAGCATGGGTTACAATGATTGCGCAGACTTCAATTAGGCAGTGGACAATTCTATGCCCTGTACTTTTATTCACATAAGTTCAAAATTAACTCAAAAGAATATTTCAGTGGTTGAGATCATGAGTCAGTTGAACCTACACCACCCTGGAAGTACTGGACTGCCGTTTCATCCTAGTATGGGACCCCTCAGCAGCGCGCATCCACGATCCCGCCTTCTCAAGATTGGAACTCAGGACCTATCAGTCTCGCACTCGAGCGCTTAACCTCTAGACCACTGAGCTGGCCGGCATCCAACGGTGGATGTGTCGTTCAATTCCGTGGATTAGTTGAAGCTAGACATTAACACCGATGGATGCCGGCCAGCTCAGTGGTCTAGAGGTTAAGCGCGAGAGACCGATAGGTCCTGTGTTCGAATCTCGCGAGGCGGGATCGAGGATGCGCACTGCTGAGGAGTCCAACAATAGGACGAAACGGTTGTCCAGCACTCCCAGGTTTTCCATGATAGTTTAACTTCAATTGACTCAAGATCGCAAATATTAAAATTACTATAATATCCACAAAAATCCTTCCGACATTAATCAGAATAATATTCTTGATATATATTAGAGAAAACAGTTAATCTTAATTAAACCTTATACATAACAGAGCTCAATTGTATATTTTGAATACTGAACTGTCCTTGAATAACACTAAATATCATACACCATTAACATATTAATTATTTATCTGAAAGATTTTATAAATAATGATTAATAGTTTTAAAACAAAATGGTAGAAGTTAATTTAACCAAATACCAACGTGTGTTACCTTAGCACTTACTTTTAATAAACCGTAAACTTAATTAAATATGCAGATCAATATAATAAGTAATCTATATTGAGTATCATTAGATGGTGTTTGATTGGTTAAAATAATGAACTTTTAAATGAATAAGAATTAACTTGGTTTATTGTATCTGTCTCATTCAAAATTCATGTGGTACATTACTGTGATTTCTTACTATGTTCTTATTATTCACATCAGTTCCACCTCATATAAACACAGTATAAATTATTATCAATTATGCCCCCGAATGCCCTGGTATGGCTGAGAGAGGGGTGGGACCGTCCTCCCTCTCGAAATGCTAACACACGGCCACGCTTATACAGCTTCTGCCAGGGAAGTCCTACTCACTGCCTTCTCCTCACGATGCTCCACTGCCTTGTGGATCAGAACTTTAGGTCAAAGGCTCGGGGTGTGGCCCCCTAAGAAAACCGCCTGCTTCGGTCTGGGCAGTCGGTCCGTATCACATCCCTCACACAAATCGAATGTGGCGTATATGTATTTGGTGCCTCCTTGTACCAAAGTTTGTGTTTAAATAAATAATAAATTGTCAATTATAATAGTAACAGCTGATAATGACTCACCGAGCCATATGATTGAAACTGAAAAATAAGAAACTTCTGAAAATCACTTAACAATAATTGTGCCTACTAGTGACTAAAATCAAATTGGATTTTATTAAATTCTAGTGAGTCATCCTGATTTGTAGTCAATTCAGTTACCAATTCGATTGACATTATATCCTAGACAAATTAAATTACCAATATGACATTTTTTTATGTTGTGGTGGTCGGTATCCGACATAATCCTTAACTTCATATACAATTCGTCTTGCTAACCGTTCAGTATAACGCCCCAACGGTATAATAATCAGAAGGCAAAATACGAAGTGTTGACTACGTTTATTGCGAGACCACACACATATATCCAAATGTACAGATGCGTTAAACAAGCATAGAAGAGTTGTGCCGAAAGGCAAGCAAGCGAGCGAGGGCCAGAGCAAGAGCGTGTGAGTGAGTGTTCAATATGAATAACATGGACATATATATACCATGTGAGATGAATGAGTAATCGAATCGAATAAGCGGTTAGTAGTAAGACTAGAAGAGTGAATAAATGCGTAGGCAGTAAGCAATATTCAAGCATACGTATTTCATACAAGCACAAAATAATAAGGGTACAATAAATTGTTATAGTGCGGATGACTTTGTCCGCTAAATAAGTTAGCAAAAGGGCTTAACTGAGTCAAATGAGAATAAACCCATTTGCACGTGAGTCTCTATAATGTTATCATTAGGAATCTCTGAATATACCATGTTTTCCACTTTTCTCCATGATTAATCTGTCTGCAGTTAACCTGACGTAACTGAAATAAACAACTAAATGTGTTGTGACTAATCAAACTACTGGATTTCCGTTACTGTTATCAAAGTGACAACTAGCTAATAGCAGTAACTGGTTGAACCTCACTATACAGCGTTAACATTATATTCATTTTGATTAAAACTGTAATTTGCTTAAGTAATTAACGAGTTGTTAAGGCATAAAATTAATACATCACGCTTAGATTTTTACTGATAAAACAACTCGATATGAAATCAGTCAGCCATATGAACGTTTAACCCTGCACATATGTGGTTCCGTTCAAGTGGCCACACAGCATTAACATAGCGAGATGAAGTCAACAAGCTAAATCCCAAAGTAGTAAAAAAGACTAAACATAGGAAACATGACTGTAGGCGAAAATATGAGTTCATGAAGTGTAAAAAATACTAAGACAATTCGGAAACCTAGGGTCTAATGGAGGGTGAAGAGTGTGTCGTATTGGATGATTCTGACCCATATTAAAAAAAATCTCTAACCGTTGGTTACGAAGATAAAGCGTACCACTAAGTAGGTTTAGACAAGAAAAACTAATTACTGATCTCTAGTTTTCGTTTGTCCTGCAGCTGGTTTCCGTTCATTTGGGAGATGAACATATCTCCATAGACTAAATAGCTGAAAAAACTAGGCTAATTACAACCTTGTTGATGCAACTTACCAATGTGCAAATACGAGAGCCTAAACCTGTCGTATCATAATATGCTGTACAGTACCAACACTCAATAAAGAATTATATTTATTTAGGAACAATTAGTAGCTCTACTACTAATACTTCTATTATAATCAATAAAGTTTCATTTCAACCAAAATGGTATATTATATGCGAAAAAGGAAAGATTTTCAAGCAGATGATTAACATTTAATGATCAATCCTCATTATGAATAATTGTTTAAAGACAATCATTGTCGAACTACTCAATATTTAATGCTGACTAAATGTTATCGATTACATGTGAAACGAGACGAATAATAGGACCGAAGACGGGCGTTTCTTTCTATTTGAAACCCAATAACATTAAACCAGTACATTGAGCGACTACTGACCTAATCTTACAAAATAGTAGTCATCATTAACACCAGTGGTTTACCCTTCTAAGGAATCATCTTTGAAGGTTGTAATAGATCAACATAACCAATGAATATCAAATCTACATAATAAGTTTTATTTGTTAAGTAATTCTGTTATGCCGTATCATATAGTTGTTAAGTAACTAAACTATTCATATTCATGTCCTTATTATGAGCTTTATTTTGACCTATGAAGCATTATTATACGATCTACCATTCTTGAATTATGCCCTGTCTATTAATTACTACCTCCTTCATTCACAGCTACATTTGGCTAGTTCTTATGCAAATGTTATTTCATATTTTATTGGTACGTTGTGGTCTGTCTGATCGGTATATAAACCGAGTATGTTTGAAATACACGACTCATATCACACAGCTCGTGTTCTGGACTTAACTGGCTGGGCTAGACAGGAAGCGGGACCAATAAGGACTCTAGACTGCTCATACAGGTTTACGCGTCATTGGTCCGATCGATAAGTCACTGCTAACCAATTAGCGGTATCGTTACGTTATACATTAACAGGGCACACAGGTCACAAGTTATAACAAATTCCGACTAAATACAATACAGAATATTCCTGTATTTACATAAAATGCATTTTCACTAAATTTTGAGCTGAACTAATTGTTGACGAAAACAAAGGTGAGAAGCCGTGACTAGTGGAGCTAATCCATGTCGGGTAGAGACAGGTATCTACCTCAGTACAACGGAAGTTGGTATCACAATTTCGTAGATTGGTTGATGTTAGACACTATCATCCATTGGATGCCGGCTCAGTGGTACAGTTAGTTAAGCGTTCGCGCGCGAGACCGAATACCCTGGGTTCGAATCCCGCGAGCGGGATCGTGGATTCGCACTGCTGAGAAGTCCCACAATAAAACGAAACGGCCGTCCAGTGCTTCCAGG